GCAGAAAGTGGCGACAGTTTCACAGATCGCATGGCGACAGTTCCACAGATCGCAGCCCCCCCAGAGATGGCGAGGTCTAATCTGAGTCCCCGTAGGGCGTCACTCCGCTGGGCCCCCCAGCAGCCCTCGAAAGTGGCGACAGTTTCACAGATCGCAGCCCCACCAGGGATGGCGAGGTCTAATCTGAGTCCCCGTAGGCCGTCACTCCGCTCGGCACCCCAGCAACCCCCGAAAGTGGCGACAGTTTCACAGATCGCAGCCCCACAAAGAGAGGAGGAGGAGGCGGGAGGAGGCGGGAGGAGAAGGAGGAAGGTGGAGACCACAGTGCTCTATTCAAAACGAGTGCCCAACGCAGGAGGGTTGGGGAAAAAAAAACGTGTCCACGAGCTTCACGGATTGAAGGCGGGTGGTTTTCAACATGTGATTCTCGCCGTAGCGCCGCGCACATACGCTGTACACATGCGCAAGAGTTTCAAGGATTGAGGGCGGGTGGTTTTCAAATGGTGGTTCTCGCTTTAGCGTTGCGCGCACTCGTTTTAAACAATTGCAAGGGCTTCAAGGATGCAGGCCGCTCCTTCTCATAATGTGGCTCTCGCTCTAGCGCCGAGCACAGTCGTGTTACAAACATGCAAGAGTTTCGCTTCTTATCATGGCTAACTTTCCCGAAGTGGTGTTGCCGACTGAATCAGGATTGTCAGGGCGCAATAGTTGCGTTGATTCGCGGTGTTGAAGTCCCAGGAACGGTGTTCCGGCACGATTCAGGATTGTGGAGACGCAGCAGTCAGTTTAATTCGTGGCGTTAGAGTCTTGAGAATTGTGTATTGGGGCGGCTCAGGATTTTCACACAGTTGTCTCCCAACAGAGCACTACTCTCAGTGGATGTGAACCTTTGCAAGGGGCTTACGAAGTGGGTGCTTGGAAGGGGGAGTGCGTTCCAACTTCGTTGATGAGTCTTGGGTTTGCACTGGTGCTCCTCTTCCTCCTCTTCGTCGTCGTCGTCGTCGTCCTCCTCCTCCTCCTCCTCCTCTCGGCGTCCACTGGGCCAGCCCGATGCTCCGTGGATTTCTCGTCCCCCTTCTCCAATTCCTCCGCCTCGTCCTCCCCATCGCTCCCCAAAGCCCCACCCCCCAGATCGCCTTGGAACGCCCCGCCCCCCCCCACCCCTGGAGCCCCCACGGCATTCGAAGATCTCCGAACGCCGCGACTCCCCCTCCCTCCTGCCCCCTTCCCGTCTTCCTCAGGTGGCCCCATGTTTTCCGAGGCCGCCACGTGGCGGGCGCACGGTGCCATCCGAGCTGCGCGGGCGCCGCAGCGGTTGTCTGCACCGCGCGGCGCCCGCCCGCCGATTTTCGGCATCTTTATCCGATCCCCATCCCCTATCCCCATCCCCTTCGAGACCCCCACCAAATTACCACCCCATTTGGGGATACACCCTTCGAAATCCGAAGGGAACAGCCTATATCCCCAGTGGGGCCCAGGCCACGCCGCTGTGGATGGGGACCAGTTGAACGGTACTCAGACTTCCTGCGCCCCGCGCAGGCCGAAGAGGAGGCGCCGGCGTGTGAAGTGCCTCTTCAGTGTGCCCGACCGTCCCCCCGGGCAACATCGGCGCCACCCCAACATGCCAACACTATGTGTGCGTCGCCCCCCCAGGGGCGAAGTGCGCACCGAGAAAGCTTATAGCATGTGCGTCGGGGCGGGCGTTTTCTGGCCACAAGGCTCGGGAAACGACACACTGGGTCGGACGCGCGCCTCCAAAGTTGAAACATCGTACTGCTATGTATCTGTGCGTCTCACAACAGACGGCTGTGTGAGGCGTGGTTTGCCATCACGGTTCTGTCAGCAAAAGCCCGTCCTCCTCAGAGTCGCTCCCCCCCGACCTCTCCAGGATCGTGTGCGCGGTTGGGCCTTCGAGGCGAGCCGAGCGCTGCGATGAGGTATCCCCCCCAGGAGGGCCAGAGAAGGCCCGCCCTGCCGAGAGGCGAGGAGTCCAGTCCTCGGTCAGCGGCGAGGCGTCCCTGCTTGCCTGTAGGCCCACCAAACCAAATACTGTCCTGGGAACCTTCCGTGGTTTGCACCAAACGTTCTCAGAGCATTTTGGGCCGAGATCGTCTTCTCTTAGCACGTCGGCTTCAGATTCTAAGAACACCGCTTATGCTCTCAGGACTCTCTTCTGTTCTACGATCATGTCTCCGTAGCCTTATAGGCATGGCGGGATGGCGGGCCCCTGTTCAAAGGCCACTGGCTCGCTTTGCCCGACCAGCAGGCTCCGGTGGAGCTCTCGACACCCCTTCCCGAGGCATGCTTCTCATCCCGAGCCGCTCTCCGATGGCCCTGGGGGCAAGAAGCGGTCCTAGGGCTCCGAACGTGGCGATGATCCCCAGGATGTGTGTGAGTCACAGTGTGTGTGTGTGTGTGTGAGTGTGCGTGTGTGTGTGTGTGTGGTTGTTGTGTTTTTTTTGTGTGTGTGTGAGTGTTTTGCGTGTATGCGTGTATGTGTATGTATGTGTATGTGTGTGTGTGTGCGTGTGTGTGTGTGTGTGTGTGTGTGTGTGTGCGTGCGTGCGTGCGTGCGTGCGTGCGTGCGTGCGTGTGTGTGTGTCTGTATGTATGTGACATGCGTGTGTGTATGTGTATGTGTGTGCGTGTTGTGTGTGCGTGTGTGTGTGTATGTGTGTGTGGTGTTGTGTGCGTGTGTGTGTGTGTGTGTGTCGTGTGTGTGCTTCTGTGCTTTTGACTTACCCTGCGCCTTGACGCCGCGCGCGTGGCCGCGACGCCAAACGCAGCGTGTGTGTGTATATATACACACACGTGTTTCCGTGTTCAGATCCAACGATAGCACACAGCCCGTGTCGGCCCTCATTGTGCCAGGGCTTCGGTGGGCAAGCACACGTTGGCGCCCACGCGCGCTCTGAAGTCCACCAGGAGTGGCGCAGAACCACCGCTGCGATCTGCTCAGGGACGGCGCAGGTCCAGGCCTTTCTCCGCTCCTCCCCTCGAGAGCGGCGCGCGGTTCCTCGCCGCCAGGTGCCGCTCTCGGCGAAGCAGGCACCAGCCGGCGGCGAGGCGCCAGCTCGGCGGCGGCGGTGCGACGGCCGCGGCGGTGCGGCAGCTGGCGACGGCGAGTCTGGAGGCGGCGGCGGGCACGAGGAAGGATGGCGACGGCGGTGACGAGGCCTGGCGACGACGGCTGCGACGGGGGCTGCGGCTGCGGCAACGAGATGACGGGGGGGATGACCTGTGGCGACGAGGGCGGCGAAGGCGACGAGGACGACGACGACGGTGATGAAAGCGACGAAGACGGTCAAGGAATCCCCAGATGAACCCCGGACGCCAGCCTGTCGGTGGCCACGAGCACGCCTCAGGAGGACCCCCCAGGTTGCAAAACGTCAGGCTTCCTCTGGCAAGGCTTGGGGTTGCACACGGGCCGGCAAGGGCGGGAGCTCAGGTTGGTATCAACAGCCACGCAGGGTTGCCCAAGGCGATCACAACACCCCAACCAAGGGGCGCGGAGCGTTCCGGGATCGCCACGAGAAGTGGCGCGGGGGCGTTGACACCGCCTGTGACTGACTACACCTGGTGCCTGCTGAGACTAGCCATGACTCGAGGCCAGCCTGGTGTGTTAAGACCGACCTTTGCTCCCCCTTGGTGCCTGTTGATGCCAGCCTGGGCTACCCTGTGGGCTGTGTAATGCGAACGCGCAGCCTTCAGGCCTTGGAAGTCCTCCTTTCTCGATGGATGACCTCGACCCGCAGAGTGCACCTGTGCGCCGCCGCGATGCCTGGCCAGGGCCATCCCTGGCCTCGGGATGGTGCATACAGTTAGGAACTTTGGCTCAGCGTGTCGCTGCCCCGTTTCTGACCCACCACGCCTCGGCGCGACACGCTGTCCACGTCTCCATTATCCAAGCGTCAGCGTCCCGAGCTGTTCCCGGCCTCTGGCCCCTCGGAGCGGAGCGACCCCCTATCTGCTCGCAGGGCGTAGCGTGCCGCCGGGGCCGCCGCCGCGGCACGCTGAGCAAACGTCTCTCGATGGTAGACGCCGTAGACCTTCTTGGCCCCAGCCAGGAGGGCGCGTTTGCCGGGCCGTGCCAGGGACCAGGATCAGAGGAGCAAGAAGTCATAATAGTGCTGCGCTCCAAGATCTCAAGGGTCTACCTGACATGTTTCACCCCGGCTCCAGAATCGGCGGCCGTTTGACACTCATCCTCAACCATATCGGGAAGGCCTCCGTTCGAATCAATTTCGATGTTGTTTGATTTCCGTTTGGCTGGATCGTTCGAGGAGGAGGGCCCAGGGAAGGGGGGGGGCAGCGGTACGACGACGAGGACGACGACGATGACGACGACGATGACGACGACTCAAACGAAGAAGCATCACACACACACACGCCGAAGGCTCGGCAAATGCTGAGCCGATCTTAGACATGGCTCACTGGTTGCCCTTTGCTCAGGAAGGAAACACACAGACACAACGAATGGTCGTCTCCATGGAGATAGGGAAATGAGGGACGTGGTGGGGGAGACGAACGTCCAGAACAGATTGAAAAGTAGGGGGAATGCAGGGAATTGTGTCTATTTATTTGTGTGCTCCTGGGCCCGAAGCCTCTAGTGATGGTCCTTGGTTTGAGCGGGAACGCCCTAATGCTAATGAGGGGCATCCTTGGTGCCCGTTCCCTGTAGAGGCATTGCAAACAGTGACGGGCTTCGTCGTGCGATATACAGCGGCCGAGTCAGGGGGTTGTGTGAGACATCGCATGCGGTCCTGTTCCCTGGTGGCTTGAGCCAGCTCGCGATATGGCAGGCCCTCTAGAGAGCCCTTCCTGCGTCCATCGGCGCAGCTATCCAGAATTTCTTGCACGCGGCCCCTTCCACTGCGCGCGCGTGCTGACCCTCCGGTGCGTGCGCCCATATGCCGGCCCGCAGGCGGCGCGCCCGAGGCCGGCAGCGGCCGCCGGCGAGGCGCCGTTCCTGCGCTGGCCGGCGGCGGCCCAGGCGGCCGGCGGCGTCGGCCGCGCCCTCGCGCAGGACGGTCTTCGCGGGGAAGCGGGTCCTGAGTCAAATGCTCGTGTTTAGGACCTTCCTAAGCTTTTCGACTCCAGCTCGACCACAGTGCGACTCAGGTTCGACTCAAGCTGGACTCGGGTTCGACTCAAGGTCGACTTAAGGTCGACTCGGAACGACGGACGTTCGACGTAGCTTCGACGCACGAGTGGAGCGAGTGGCTCCAGAAAGGTCCCAAGAATGAGAATCCAACCTGAGGGAAATCGGGGCCTAAGGGACGGGGGTCAACGCAAACGGGGGTCAGCCAGAGCGCTAGATCTGACAGGATCCTGCAAGGCCTGACCGAGTGGGGTCGCGAGCGCTCAAGTGCAGCACCGTGTCGGCACCAGCCGCTAGGCGAGATTACGGATGTGCTCCGCAGCGACGAGCATAGAGTTGTGTATACATATATTTTTGTATGTATGTTTTTACGTACGTACGTACGTACGTCTGTATGTATGTATGTATACACCCGCAAGGTCTTCGCCCCCCTGCCGACGGCCCTCTCTCTATCAAAATGTGATACATCAGAGTCGCGTCGGTGCGTCTCGGCGCTGCCTTGGCGCATCTGGGAACATCATGCGGGGGCGGATAGGGATCATCAGCGCATATTGAAACGTGGTGTTATCCGCGTGGCCTTCGGCCCATCCACCGTGTCTGGGTTTTCGGTCAAAGGCCTCTTGTGTACGCGTTGGGGTGTCGTTTGGAGCCTCTCGGGGGCCTCTTGGAGGCGGTTTCGGCGACTCTTGGGGGCCTCTTGAGGCCTCGTGGGGTATCTTTTGGGCCTCTTGGAGGTCTCTTTGGCGCGTCTTGGGCGCCTCTTAGGGCCTCTTGGGGCCTCCTCGGGGCTTCTCGGGGCTTCTCGGAACGCTTCTTGGTCCATCTTGAAGACCTCTCGGGCGGTCTTGGGGCCCTCTTGGAGGCGTCTTGGGCTATCTTGGGGCGGTCTTGGGAGCTTCTTGAGCCATGTTGGAGCGTCGGAAAGCCGAAACTCCTTCAAGCACTTTGATAACAAATCACGATGCTGACCTCTTGGGGCTCTCTCGGGAGGCTTCTTTGAGCGCTCTTGGGGCCGCTTGGGGCCCTCTTGAGCCGTCTTGGAATCATCTTCGGGCGCCTTGTAGCATTCTTGGCCTCGGCAATGCGAATACTGCCGAATTTGCGAGTGTATGGCCACGTGGAGGCGAAGATCGCATATTTCACGAAGGTTTGTGCCTCGGGGACGCACGAACTTAGCAATTGGCGAGGGTTTGTGGCCTCGGTGGCGCGAATATTCTATAGCTTCGGGGACGCGAGTATTGAGCAATGTGCAAGGGTTTGTGTTCTCGGGGACGCGAGTATGGAGTAATGTGCACATGCTTCTAACTTCGGGGACGCGAATATTGCGTAGTGTACGAAGGTTTGCTGCCTCGGGGACGCACAACTTGAATACTTGGCAAGGATGTGTTGCTTCGGGGGCGCAGCGATTGCTTAATTTGTGATGGTTGATGGCCTCGGGGACGCGAAAATTGCATAACTGTCGAAAGTGTATTGCCTCGGGAACGCAATAATTATATACGTTGTAAAGATTACTGGCCTCGGGGACTCGAACATTGTAAAATTTATCCGGGATCGTTTCTTCGGGGGCGCAACTGTGGCGTAAGTTATTGTGAATCGTGGCCCCAGAAGTACGAATGTATTGCGAAATCATGGCTTCGGCAAAAAGCAGGACTGTAACATTGGAGACTGGAAACTGGAACTGGTGCAGGGCACCGGAACCTAACCCGCGCAGCCTGAAGGCCCTCCGAGGGGGCCAGCGGCTATATATTCTTATATATTCATATCTATGCTACATGAGATATGCTACACTATACGTGTACATATATATACACATACATGTGAGAATCTGATTTACACATATCATATATCATATAGCATATGGGTGCGTCTGCCTACGGGGGGGTGCTTCCAGACACAGGGGGGCACTTTTAGACTCCGGGGGTAGTTTTCTACACCAGTTACTCTCCGGGTAGCTCATATGTTCCTGGGGCACTTGCAAAGCATGTCCTCGGAGCATGCAGGGCTGGAGGGGGGATCTCATGGCTAGTGCCATGGTACCTGCCCGGACGTCATGGCCCCCTTCTCTTTATTGCAATGTGTCCCCTGCCCCCCTCGGGCCATGCTTTGCGAGAGCCCTCCTCTTGCACGCCCCCGGCCATCGCCTCGAGCCTCTCCGCGCCGCGGCAGAGCGCGCGGCGGGGTGCTCTGCTGGGCGATGTTCGGCGCTTGTCTTCGCCTTTTTCCAGGCCCCACGGCCGCCGAAGCACGGCTCGGCGTGGAAAGCCCAGCCCGAGGGCAGAGGTCCGGGCCTCCAGGGGCCACGTTGTGAAGAGGTCACAGTGTCGGAGGTCTGGGGGGCTGTTCATCGCCATGACGGGCACTCAGTGTAAAGGGCGTCATGTTCCAGGAGTCGAAGAGTTGGCTTCCATGTCTTCGGCGGAAGGTGGCGGGAGGCAGTCGGAAGCCTTCGGAAGAGAGGACGGCTCTGGCGTCGCAGGTGAAATATGTGTGCGACCAGATGCCAATATGTGTGAATCCAGGGATCCTGCAGCGGAGCATGAAGAAAAGAGGTCATGGAGGAAATGGGTCCTGGATGTTTTTCACAGCTTCTGGGCTCCCGGGGACTTCCCCAGGCCCCGCGCCTGATGAACAACGGCTCGGGATGATCCCCGGCCTCGTCTTGGCAGACGTGGGCGTCGAGGAGGGGGGTGAGGACAGGTGGTGTGCATTCCTGTACCCCCCCCCCCTGTTGGCTTGGCGCACACGCCTCGGGCCACGATGCGCTTCGACCCGTCTTCCTGATCCCATGTCCAGCGCACCTGAGCCGTTTCATAACATGCATCCCCGCAGGTCAGGACCTATTGCTGGGGGTCGGAGGATCGCGCCGCATCGCCAACGCATCGGCGATGCGGCTCGATGTGGAACCCGATCTTCTCTCCTCCGACGGCGCCGATGCATCGCCGACGTCGCCCGCGCAGTGCCAGCGGATCGGCGATGCATGGCCGATGCATCGGCGATGCGGCGCCATCCTCCGACCCCATCTACTCGGACCCCATCAATTCGGATGCAACTTCTGGGAGGTCAAATTCTGATTTTGCCCTGGTCCGAAATCCGGCTTAATCCCGCTTAATCCGGCTTAATACCGCTTAATCCTGTAATCCCGCTGAATCCGGCTTAATCCCGCTTGATCCGAGGCCCACTCCAGCGTAACAGCCCCCCAATGCCCCATGGGGCTTTATCCACTTCAATCTTTCCGACGAAACCCTCCCAGTAGCTGCCTCCCAACATCAACGAGGCCTCCGTGGGGGCGGCACGTGTGCCACACCGTCCGTCGTACTGTACTGTTTTCACGACGCGGTGGAGTCTGGCTTCCGGGCCGCAGCGCGGGCCTCCGGCGGTCGCTCGGGGCGAACCGGACCCCTCCCTGGGAGACCGCTCTCGGCGAGGCGCAGCCGCTGGGAAGCGTTCCGAGGTGAGAAAGCCGTCCATGAGCCAAGATTGGTGGCGCGCCAAAGGGGGGGTATGGGGAGGGGGGAAGGCTTCTTAGAAGGAGGCTGCTTTGTAGAAGGCGCCAGCCCCACGTGTGGAGAGGAGGCCCGCGCCTTCTAAGAAGCAGGGGTGCTTCAAAGAAGCCTTCCCCCTCCCCCTACTCTGAGATCCGACGTTGCAGAAAAAGCTTAAACATCGCAGAACATCACGTCTGGACCCCCAGACCTCATGGTTTTGTGGAATTGTTCGAGCCGGATCGATCTGTGACGCCTGGCTCGAAACACGCACGGGGTCTCCTAGAGTCTGGCGAACTTGAGCGAACACGCCTGGCTCTAAACCGCACTGGGCGTGCGAACTTGAGCGAAAACGCGAGTCGCCAGGATCTCAGGGTGCCCCTCCGTGCGCGCCGCCGACAAGAGCACAAGGCCCCCGAACAAAAACTAGGCCTCGACCCTTCGGCAGGAGGGCGGGATTGGTCGGCAGAGTTCGAGGCGGGCCGGCGCGGCGGCCCGCGGCGGCGCCCCTCCCAGGGCGCGGCCGCCGCCGTCCCGACGTCGCCGCCGCGCGTCTCGGCGCCCTAGGCTCCGTGGCGGCGAGGCAGCACGGGAGGCAGGGAGGTGGGGGGGGGCGGGGAGGGAGGAGGAGGAGGAGGAGGAGGAGGAGGAGGGAGGAGGGAGGAGGAGGGAGGAGGAGGAGGAGGAGGAGGAGGAGGAGGGAGGGGAGGAGGAGGAGAGGAGAGGGAGAAGGAGGAGCAGGAGGAGGAGGAGAAGGAGCAGAGGGAGGAGGAGGAGGAGGAGGAGGAGGAGGAGGAGAAGGAGGAGGAGGAGGAGAGCAGGAGGAGGAGGAGGAGGAGGAGGAGGAGGAGGAGGAGGAGGAGGAGGAGTAGGAGTAGGAGTAGGAGTAGGAGAGGAGGAGGAGCAGGAGGAGGAGGAGGAGGAGGAGGAGGAGGAGATTCTCCACGGAGCCGAAGGTGAACCCGCCGTACGATGTGCATGCTCTGCCGCTCTTAGCTTGGGGCCATGCGGCCCGCTTGGGATGGACCGGGCACCGTGTCATGGAGGGCAGTTTTCTTCCTTTTTGAGCAGGGCTGATCGATGTTGGCGAGATGTCCGTGGCCTTGATGGAGCCGTCGCTTTCACCGCTGAGAGATACAGGATGGAAAGTCGCCAGCTGGTGTCAGTTTGTTGCGGTCCGAGGGGTCGAGGTGGATTTCACGTTCCTTGGGTACGGGTCCCTGAAGGCTGTTGTACACCAAGTGGCTCGGGATATGCTTCTTCTGGGTCTTGGAGACGGAGTTCGGGTCCCAAGGCTCCAAGAAGGACCCCAGCTGGAGCCCATAGCAGGAGTTCTTCAGAAGCTCAGGGTCTCGGAGACGTTCAAGACGGCAGCAGGCCTGGCGGGAGTAGTGGCTGGAGGCTACCCGACCCAGCTCACGCTGTACGACGATCGCAGGGCGATCGATCCCCTCTGCCAGCTCTGCGGCGAGAGCATCGGCACCCCTGCTCATCGATTCTGCTGCTGCCCAACCCATACGCCTGTTCGCAAATATTTAGATGTGGACGAGCTGCGCGAGCTCGACTGCACGCCAGGGAACATGTTGCTTGTGTCTCGTGTGCTGGCTGAGAGTCCCGAGTGGCAATGGCCGTCGCCGTATACCCGAGCTGGCTTCAAGTGAGATAGTATTCCTCCTGGAGGGTGCCTCGGGCCTCGCGTTTGCCTGGACGGGTCTGGCTTGGACTCTGAGCTCCCGCAGTTTTCCCGCGCGGGAAAGGCCGTTGTCTCGGTTTCTCTGGACTCGTGGGGGAGCTATGTGAGTGGGTCGGCGTACGGGCCTTTGCTGCACGCGGTGCAGACAAGTGGATGCGGCGAGGTGCATTCTCTCTTAACGTGTCTCCGACTTGCGGGGCCCGAGGTCATGCAAGTTGTGACCGATTGTGAAGCTGTGCTGGACACCCGGGGCCGAGGAAGTGAGCAAGACCTTGAGAAGGTTTCGTTTTCGGAGCTGTGCAAGGATGTATTCGAACGGGCCAAGCAGATAGGACCAGAACACATCTATCTCTCAAGATTAAGTCTCACCTCTCCATGGCCGAATCCCGTAGAGTTGGAGTTGACGAGTGAATATGAGCGGGGAAACAAAGGGGCCGACGAGTTGGCCCGACTTGGAGCCCATGCCCAGGCCCATACTATTGGACTCGTGAAAGGTATAAGGCTGCTGTGCCCCTGATTCGACAGTCGGCCTGGCTGGTTGCTGAAATCATGGGCGACCTGGCAGCCAGGAATTGTCCCGACGTTTCAAGAATCAGACGGCCCAGTCGGGCCACGCCTAACCTGGTCGTTCTTGTGCCTGACCCGAAGGGCCACGCCATCGAGAAGGTCTCTAAGGGTGCGTACACGTGTCTCCGCTGCGGCGAGCGAGGGAAGACTTGGGCCGCAGTGAGTGTTTTCCCGTGCGGTGGGCTCCCTAGGATTGCGCGGACGAGCCACGCTTCCCACAAGTCGTGGCTGATGGGAGGTCAGGTCGCTTGGTGTGTGCGTTGTGGGGCGTTCGGGGGTTGTCGGGCTCGACCTTGCCTCCTTTCTGAATGTCACCACGGTCCGCGCACTCGCAACTCAGGGGAGGCTATGAGAACGATGAAGCATGCAGTGGGCCCCAGCACGACGCAGTATGTTTGGAGGCCTGTTCCTCTGGTCTGCCAATCGCCTGGCTGGGCGTCCAGGGAGGCGAGATAGCTGCCATACATTCATCCTCTTCTTCCCAGTACTGTCTTTCGCCACTTTATTGCAGACTCCGCCAGCGGTAACAGAGGGCATAGGGCACAGGAGCCAAACGGAGCCAAAAGGAAGATGAGGAGGAGGAGAAGGAGTAAGACGAATGAGACTAATAAGAAGAGGAGGAGGAGGAAGGTATGGAGGGGGAGGGTGATGGGGGGTGGGCTGGGATTGGGAGTGGGGAGTGAAGGAGGCAGGGAGGGTGGGAGCGAGGGGAAGAAGGAGGACGAGGGGTAGGGTGATTGTGGTGGTGATGATTTTGGGAGTGATGGTGATGGCGGTTGTGGTGATGCTAATCGGTATGATGGTGATGATACTGCTGGTAATGGTGATGCTGCTGATACTGCTCATGATGGTGATGTTGCTGACGATGCTGATGAGGATGATGAGGATGAGGATGGTGATGAAGATGATGGCAGTGATGATGATGATGATGATGATGATGATGATGATGATGATGATGATGATGATGATGATGATGATGATGATGATGATGATGATGATGATGATGATAATGATGATGATGATGATGATTGTGCTTATGCTGACGGCGATATGATGACGATGATGGTGCTGGTGATGATGATGGTGGTAGTGGTGGTGATGATGATGAGGGTGATTTGGACGATGAGGACCATGAGGATCGTGAGGGTGATGAAGCGGATTATGAATATTCGGATGAATCGATGATGATAATGATGGTGCCGCTAGTAGTGGTGGTGATGATGATGGTACTTATGCTGGCGGCGATGATGGTGATGATGGTGGTGGTGGTGATTATAAAGATGTTGCCGCTGATGATGATGATGCTGATGCTGATGAGGATTCTACGGCGATGAGGATGCTGGCGATGATAATGATGCTGATTACGATGAGGATGATGGTAATGATGCTGATGATGACGAGTCCGATGATTATGACGATGGTGGTGACGACGGCGATGGTGATGCTGATGATGATGCGGATGATGACGATGACGGGGAGGTGATGCCGATGCTGATGTTGAGTATGATGACGGTGATTATGATGCTACTGGTGATGAGAGTAATGATGATGCTGATGACGATTATGATGATGCGGATGGTGATAACACTGGTGACAACGATGCGGATGATGCTGATGATGCTGATGATGTTGATGATGATGATGATAGTGATGATGATGTTGATGATGATGCTGATGATGGTGGTGGTGATGATTATTATGGCGGTGGTGGTGATGATGCTGCTGATGATGATACTGATGAGGATGATGGTGATGAACATGATAATGACGATGATGATGCTGATGATGATGATGATGATGATGATGATGATGATGATGATGATGATGATGATGATGGTGGTGGTGGTGGTGGTGGTGATGAAGAGTATGGTTGTGATGGTTGTGATGATGATTATGATGATGATGACGATGATGATGATGATGATGATGATGATGATGATGATGATGATGATGATGATGATGATGATGATGATGATGATGATGATGATGCTGATGATGCTGATGATGCTGATGATGAAGGGGAGGAGGAAGAGGAGGCGGAGGAGGAGGAGGAGGAGGAGAAGGGACAGACGCCGCGGCCTCCTACTGCCTGGAGGAGGAGGAGGAGGAGGAGGAGGAGGAGGAGGCCGAGGAGGAGGGAGGCGAGGACGAGGACGAGGAGGAGGAGGTGGGGAGAGCAGGAGCGGCGTGAAGCGGAAGCGCAGCAGGTGGGGCGGGGGCAGAGGCTGAACCCGGCCTGCCCGCATTGAGCGCTGCCTCTGACCGCGTGGCCTGCCGCCCACGGGCGGGATACGGCAGCCAGAGGAGGGCCAGTGGAGGGCCGTCGGAGCTCACGTTGCGGGGTCAGCGTTCTCGCGAGTCAGCCACTTCGCTCTAGCCGACCCCGGCTTGGAAGCCACGTCGGGCCGACTCCCCCTTTCCGCCCTCCGCTGGCCCCGGCTTGGGAGCTGTACTGAGCGGCTGGCTGGGCTTCGCGTCAGGGCCTTGACCGATCCAGGTTCGTTCTGGCCAGGATTCGTGCGTCCCCTAAGTCGCGGCCACAGTGGTGGTCTGTTTTTGGGGCCTCCCGGAGGCTTCACAGACATGCCCGCTTCGCGACAAAAGTCGGGGCGGGAGCTTTTCCGGCCGTTTTGGGCCTCTGCGGGCCTCACGGGGCCTTGGGGACCGTCGAACAAGGACTCGGGATGGACAACCGCTCCCAGGGAAAGCGTCGGGACTTCCAGGGACCCCGTATGGGAGAAACGAGGCCATCGCATGTCTGGGTTCTCGCCGCCTCGGCTGGATCCGCCCCCGAAGCACGGCTCAGGGGCCAGTGTCGGGGAGGATGTGGGCCGGACGGGAGCGCTGCGGTTGCCTCCACTGGCCCTCCTCCGACGCAGGCGTGCCTTGGGGTCGTCGCGACGCAAATCCGCGACGGCCGCGCTTGCTCTCAACTTCCGCCGCCCTCGAGTGGGCTGCCCCCCGCGCCCCGGGGGGCCCTCAAAAGCAAAGACCTGCCACCGCGGCGTTAGATCGGCTAGCTGCACCTGAGAATCACCCTTCGTCGGAGCGACTTTTGGTGCGGGCCCAGAGGGGTCCCGCCCAGTGCCCCCCAGTGCTGGCTTGCGCGCTTGGGGTTGGCCCCACCGTGGCCCCCTGAAGCCGCGCACCAAAGGTCGCTCGTGGCCAGGGTCACTCCTACGCGTAGGCGAGAAGAGCCTCACCGTTGCTGGAGGATGGGGCCGAGAGCTCAAGGGCTCATGCCGCGCGGGGCTCGCTCTGGGCCTCGCTGCGGGGTGCTCGGGAAGTCGCCGGGGCCTCCTCCCAAGAGATCCTGGGGGCCACATTGGTCAGGGGAGGACAAGGTACGGTGGGCTCGTGTCGTGTCGACTCGCCGCGACCCCGCCGCGGGCGTTCAAGGTTGAACGTCGCCGGCGACTCAACATCGGCCGTTGTTGATCGATCTGACGTTTCGGAATAGGCCGATGGTTCAAGGTTGAACGATCCCCGCGTCGTCAGAAGTCAACGCCGAAGTCGGGACGACACGGACCTGTCGTACCGATACCGTTAACCTTGCCTCGTCGACGCGGCCGGACTCGCCTCGAAGTCCTGGCCAGAGCGCGCACCAGCAGAGGACCATGTAGCAGCGGCATCGGTACTTGTTTTGTTCCTCCAGTCGGGCCACGGATGTCTTTGGTAACGCCCGGATCTGGCGGCGCGCACGGGAGGGCGGAGGCGAGAAGGCGCCCCTCTCAGAAGGCAGGGCTCTGCTCAGGAAGGGGTCAGCCCCGTCCTTTGGGGACTTCGGCAGGGTTTCCCAGAAGGCAGGAGGGCTTCGCAGAGGCGGGGGTGCCTTTTCAGAATGCCCTGGCAAGGACCTACGGTTCCGCTTATGATTCAGAAACCTCCCTCCGAAAAGCTGGCCCAGCGTTTCTTAACCAACTTGCCGGAGAGCTGGCTCCGTTTCTTAAGGGGATTGATAGCCTTGGATCCTAGAAATGAATAGTGTACGTTCCTGGCTCCAATAGCTGGTCCAGAATTTCCTTAAGAAACTTCTGAAAAGCTGGCCCAGCTTTCTTAATTGATAAGTTTCTGAAGCATCTGTGTGACCTTACTCAACGCTGTGTATCTTGGTTTGTGCCCTTGTTTTGTCTTCGTGTTGTTGTTCGTCGCTGTCGAGTTTCTTGTTGTCGTTGTTGTTTTATACGCCTCTTGTCGCGTCCGTTTCGTTTGGCAGCGGCTTCGTTTCAAGGGTTCGTTTTAAACGTTGGGTTTCCTTTCGTTGTTTGTTTTGAGCGGCATGCCGTGTGAAGCATCGCTGTGGTCGGTCTCTGGGCCTTCCTCTCGCCCCTCCCCTGGCCGAACGTCCTGCCCAGCGGCTCCGGGCCGGTCCCCGCACCCCTCCCGTGGGGGCTCTCCACCATGGCAGGGCCTTCGAGCTGCGCCCAACCGCGCGGCCACGAGCGCCCCAGAGCCGAGGGTGGGGGTCCGCGGATTCTGCCGTGGGCAGCCGGTTCCGGCCCCGCCGCTCGCCAGCTCGGAGAATGAGTCCACTGCGTGCAGCCTCGGCTTCACGTGTCGTGCCGCCAGGTCTGGCCCACAGCCTTCCAGGCGCGACCTCCCGACTCTCAGGCGTCAGCGTCCCGAGCCTTGCTCAGCCCCCTGCCCCGCGGAGCGCAGCGACTCGCTTTCCGCTTACAGGGCATGGCGTGTCGCCGGGGCCGCCGCCGCGACACGCTGAGTAAAAGTTCCCGACCGTACCCCCCTTTGCGATCCCCCGTCTCGCTCCGGGCACGGTGGTGTTTTGTTTCGAGGACGAGAAAGTGAACGTTGGAGCATCCGATGAGAATCCTGGTGTCTTGTCAGAGCGATGGTGAACAGCAGCAAGATTCCTGGATGGTGGCGCACGTGCCACTTTCGCGCCGCAAGTTTTGAGATGGTTCGTGTCGACGCCTTTTCTCCCTGGCATTTCTGGGCAACGGCGACACTAGGCATGAGTGGCCGTGGTCTGGTTTCGACGAGTGAGTGCGAGCGCAGTGTTAATTTCACCCTACAACGCACAATGGTTTGGTTTGCACAGGGATTGTCACGTATACAACCACTCTTTCTGCACAAGGGTGTCTGTGCATCCTGGTCTCGCCTGGCAGCGTTGGTGAAAGAAGGCCCCCGATGGGCCTTGCATTGTTTCAGAGTGCCATGAGTAGTCGCCATGACCGTGATGAGAGTCATGTGTAACGCCGTCGACGTAGTTTCTCTGCATTTTTCATTATCCTCGCTGCAAAGCGCTTCCGTTTTCGTCTCCTTGGGGCCGTTCCTTTCGAGCATGTTTATCGCTGCGTGTTTGTCATATACTGTACCCGTCGTGCTGTCCATGCCCTCATGGGCACCATGATGACCCGCCGTGTTTTGTTTCGACGAGCAGCGGGCAATGATGGCACCTGTCATTTGCCGGGCAAGACTGGCACGCCGCATGTCCAGCAGGCATCCGTCTTAGAAAGCGTGTTGAGCTCGCCCATTTGGGGGTGATGCGCAGAGGCTATTCGATTCTCTACCGGTTTCTGTGCGTACTTGCTTCTGTGGCATTTGGCCAGATGACGCCGCGGTGCAGCGTCTTTGCCGTCCGAGAACTACGTCGCAGAACTTGGATGCCTCCGCTGATGCTCTGCCACGTGCCGGCGCCACCTTGCCCCGGGCCCCCCCCCCCGTCGGTCCACCCCGACCCAGGAGGCCCTCAAAAATTGACCGAGGCGCGTCAGCATCCGGCAGGCCGAGGCTCGCTCGTGGGAGCCGCCGAGCGGTGTCGGGAGGTCTGGGGCTGGGGAGCGCCAGGCATACGCCTACTGCACCGATCTTGGCCAGGCCAATTTTGTGCCCAGGACGGGGAACTCTGTCAGCCTCCCTGGCCAAGCCAGGAGGGAGTGTACACCGAGCCTGGGCCCAGGGTGGGCCTGACCAAGCTCGGTGTTGGCGTACCCTGGAATCCGACGTCGCGGAAACTTGAGGCGCGGCGGCAATGGCGATTGGAGCTCTCGACCCCATCTCTGTGCGGCATTCCTCGTCGAGTTGGATCGATCCGTGAGGGTCCCAGAGCCCGAAACCGAGCAAGAACACCCAGTGCGAAAATCAGTGCGGCGCCCGGGTGTCAGGCTCGTGGGTCGAAGACCACCTCCGCAACCTTCGTGAGCTGCGCCCCGGCCAGACATGCTTGGCAGGTCCAGCCGTGGCGATAGGGAGGCCACCCGGAGTCGCAAACAGGGCGCCGAGCTTCCTCGGCAGCCTCGGACCTCAAGGTTCGAGCGAACCTCGAGCCTCGACCTCAGGGCACAGCTAGCCTCTTCCTGCTTGGAGGGTACGGTTCGCCCGCAGCGCCCGCAGCTCGGGAGGGAAACGTACAAACCATGACGCGCCGCTGTTGTGAACCCGTCGGCGAACTAATCCTCTGTGCTTTTCCCAGAAAAACCTGGTGCTCGCCCAGCAGTAACACGCTGATGGTGATCCTGATGCAGATGATGCTGACCATGTTGCTGAGTACGACGATGATTGTGATGATGATGATGGTGATGATGATGATGGTGATGATGATGACAATGATGATGACGATGATGACGATGATGATGATGATGATGATGATGATGATGATGGTGATGGTGATGGTGATGGTGATGATGATGACGATGGTGATGATAATGATGTTGCTGCGTATGATAATGATGACGTCGATGATGTCGACGACGATGGTGATGATGATGATGATGCTGATATTGGCAGTATTCATGTTGATGTTGATGATGAGCGTCTGATCATGGTGGAGTTGTCGATGGTGCGGATGGTGATGATGCTGCTGATGATGATGGTGATGATGTTGGTGCAGATGATGATGCTGCTGATGATGATGATGATGATGATGATGATGATGGTGATGGTGATGGTGATGGTGATGGTGATGATGATGCGTATGCTGATGATGCTGCTGATGATAATGCTGCTAATGATGCTGATGCTGCTGCTGATGATGATGATGATGATGATGATGATGATGCCGATGATGACGATACTGATCACGATCATTCTTACTAGTGCTATGCTGCTGCGCGTATCCCGGCACAGCCGGAGCAAGCGACTATCTACCCTGCCAGGGATTCGTGGATCTGGCTTTATGGATTTGTTCATGCAAAGCTCAATCGGGCCGACGCTTCATCCACGGTGGCGTGTCATTCATACAATCGGACCGAGGTATCAGATCGAGGTCGGTTCGGAGAGGGTACCCTTGTGTGTTTCGTGCTTGTTGGATGTCCTTGTGCATCCTGGCGAGGGTACCCTTAGATGGTCTGCTTGTTTTGGCTGACGGAGGGTTTCTTGAGGGATGTTCTTCTGGCCTAGGCCTAGGTCCGACTGTAGTGTCTTGCTCCCTCAGCACCTTGTTCTGGCTGAGCACTTGGCGCGGCAGCGCCGCGGCGCGCTGGCAGCGCTCTTCTTTTCCCGCGCTGCTAGGCCCGCGGCGGTTTCCGTGCAATGTTGCGGCGCCCCGCGGGGGAGGCCCCCCCCCGAGCGCACGCTCTCGGAGCGGATGGGCATGGGGACGGGGATTGGGATGGGGATGATAATGATAGTGATGCTTATGATGATGATGATGATGATGATGATGATGATGATGATGATGATGATGGTGATGGTGATGGTGATGGTGATGGTGATGGTGATGGTGATGGTGATGGTGATGGTGACGGTGATGATGACGATGACGATGACGATGACGATAACGATGACGATGACGATGACGATGACGATGATGATGATGATGATGATGATGATGATGATGGTGATGGTGATGGTGATGGTGATGGTGATGGTTATGGTGATGGTGGTGATAATGGTGATGATGATGGCGATGACGGTCACGATGATGATGATCACGATGATGATGATGATGATGATGATGATGATGATGATGATGATGATGATGATGATGATGATTCTGATTATGATTATGCTGATGATAATGATGCAGATGATGATGCTGTTGATGATTGTGATGGTGAGGATGATGGTGCTGAGGATGTAGATGAATCTGTTGATCATGACGATGGCGCTGGTGGTGAATTTCATGATGATGAGGATTCTGATTAAGAATATGATGATGACGACGTCGACGCTGCTGGCGATGAGGATGATGCTAATGTTAATGATGATGGTGAAGATGATGCCGACGAGGACGATGCATTTGATGATGTTGAAGTGATGGGGATGCTAATGCTGCTGTCGTTGATGATGATCATGATGACGATGATGTTGGTGATGATGGTGATGCTAATGGTACAGCTGATGATAGCGACCCTCGTGTTGCTGCTTCTGCCGATGTTGACGACGATGCGGGAGGACACGGAGGTGGATGGGGACGATGATGATACTGATACTGCTGATTATGATGCTGCTGATGATGATGCTGATGATTTCGATGATGCTGACGGTGATGATGATGAGGATGAGGATGACGAGGGGGATGGTGAGTATGCTGAAGATGACGATGGGGAGGATAAGGATGACGATGGTGATCAAGATGACGCGGATGATGATGATGATGATGATGATGATGATGATGATGATGATGAAGATGATGATGATGATGCTGATGATGATGATGATGATGATGATGGTTGTGGTGGTGGTGATGATGATGATGATGATGACGCATACTATGATGATGTTGACGGCACGATGACGACGCTGACGGTGATGATGATCTGCCAGATCTCGAGCACATTTTCAAATAAGGCCAGCACTACTGTGAATCATGGCCTGGGACATGATGTCGTGGACTCGTTTGATCCTCTCGAGGCCGTCCCAGCAGTTGCCCAGCGAGAGCTTAAGCGTACCTCTTCGGATCGTACCTTCGGAAGCAGGAGTCACATAGATCCCTGGGTAGACGTTCGCAAGCATGCTCCTTGAATCTGAACTCGATCTTGGCCCCAGGAACCCGTCGGTAGACTCCTAGAGCCGCGTTGGTGTCCTCCGCGAGGTTGTGGGGGTCGAATGACAGATCGTGAAGTTTCTGAGCCCGTCTCTTGACAACTACGGTCCAGTTGAGAGCCTAAGCCCATATCCTCTTTTTGGATCTGAGTTTTCTTCTCAGAGTCCGGCGTAAGTCCAGTCCAGTTGGTCGAGAGTCTTTTGTTGGAGCCATTCTTCGCAGTCAAGTTTGTCGGGCTGAAGATGTTCGACCGCAAACTGGGTCATTTGATTGTCGAGGGCCGCGCTCAAGGTCGGTAAAACGTGCCGAGGCGTACGTTGCATTGATCTCGCAAAGTGCTGAAAAGACCCTTTGAGCCTCTCTGTCGTGCAGGCGTCTGGGATTGATTATGGGCTTCCGCCCGTCAAAGAGGGGGGGGGGGGGCAGGACCGACTGGCGGGGAGGGGGGCCTAGAGGCATGCACAAACATGGTCGTGGATAGCATTCGCCCAGTTGACCTTCCCATCTTCCTTGCCTCTGAGACGGCCTCTGACCGTGTGCCCTGCGTCCGTCAAGGGAAGACGGATGGCTCGGAACTGGTTCCACCCGTTCTCCATGGTCTTAGGCTTTTTGACTGCTTCGTGTGGTCCGTGACCAGGAAGAACACATGACCGGGCATCGGGTAGCTGGACTGCGATGAGGAGACGGGCTGAAACAAATTTGTGATGACAATACGCTTCTCGGAAAGTTGGGTACGTCCCGTCGAAACTGGGGCATCAATATCGACCCACATGGCAAAGCCTTCTTTTCCGTCCCCCTTGTGAGCTGCATAGTAAACAACGCAATCTCCGACCTGCCCTGGCATGCGCATGCGGAGTCGCGTCTCGATGGTGGCAACAACGCGGTAGACCACATTGGAAAATTACCCAGCCAACATCGTGAGTTTGCCAGGTTCATAAAGGCCTATCGGGTCCTGACTCCTGGCTAACAGTCTCCGCTTCTGGTTTCTGATCCACCTGTCCGTGGTGTTCCTAAGGTTCAACAGGATGGCCAGCCCAAACTTGACCAGGAGGGGGAGGTCTTCTCTGCGTGGGCCTCAAGTTTTCGTAAAATACCCAGGGGCTCTTGAGCTCCGCAACCTCCAGGAAGCATGTGCGGGACCACAAGCTCGTGATTTTCCGGATTACGGGAAAAAGAGGCTTCTGGAACTTTCTTGTGGAGCCCTTGCTCGTGCATCCAAAGCCACGCCACCAGGGTAGCCTCGAACAGATACGTGGCAGGGGGTCATGAAATTTGGATATGGTAGAAGTCCCATTCCGCAGAGCATAGCCCGGATACCGACATGCTCGTTGAAGCCTTCGCCGACGTGCGCAGATATGTGCTGGAAGGACATGTCCCTGAAGTCACCTAGAGCGTGATTCTTTATTGTTTGGGGCATGACGGGCGTCATGGCCCCGCCGCCCCCTCCCCCCCCTATGACGTAACGCCCCCCCCCCCCCCAGTGACCTCCGGGCACTGCCGCCGTGCGCATCGGGATCCGCGTAAGTGCCCGCATAGGAATCCGCATCAGAGTCTGGTCCGCAGTCGTCGTCGTCGTCGTCGTCGCCGCCGTCGTCGTCGTCGTCGTCGTCGTCGTCGTCGTCGTCGTCGTCGCTCGTCGCTCGTCGCTCGTCGCTCGTCGCTCGTCGCTCGTCGCTCATCGTCGTCGCGCGCGCGGACGCGGCTGGAGCCTGCGTTTTTTCCCCCGGGCCGATGACGGCAATCATCTGGGGGGATGGAGGGGTCTCATGACGTCACGTTTCGCGCAGGCGGCGTTTGGGAATGCCTCGGAATGACCGAGGACGGGTGGCAACAGCATGTCGGTGGGGATCTGCGCCACAAGGCGTGTGTACACCACAGTGCCTGGGTGCACCACAGCGCCGGTGTACATCACACCGCCTATGTACACCACAGCAGCCGCGTGCAACACAGCACCAGTGTGTGCCACAGTGCTTGCGGGCACCACAGCGCTTGTGTACACTACAGCGCCGGCGTACACCACATCAGCTGCGTGCAACACAGCACTCCTATACACCACAATGCCTGCGTGCACTACAGCGCCTGTGTACACCACGGTGCCTGTGTGCACCATATCATCGTGCGCAACAGAACACAACTGTTGTATATAGAATGTTGGAAGGATTCCTTACGACAAAATGAAGCGCCTGCGGGTTCCAGAGAAAATAACTGTTCCATAAAGGATTGGGAAAATGATCTTCATGGAAAAAGGAGCGCCGCTGGAATCTACGAGTCCCCCCCGGGTCCGCCCGCGTCATCCTAACTCCTCCCATCTTCGTCCAGGAGGTTGCAGCTAAATTGGCCGTCCGAAAACCAAATGGACTGATTTAATCGACCATTTTGCTTTCTGCGGTGCACGCTGAGATGCGCACGTGCGCTGTAGCGCCGACCCGCACGACTGGGGGAAAGGGTGAGGGAAGAGGAGGAAAAGGAAATGGAGGAACAGGAGGAGGAGGAGGAGGTGGAGGAGGTTTGAGGAGGGAAGAACGTCGTATTCTATTATCAACACATCCGTGGCGTGGCGTTTAGCTGTCCTCACTTAAGTGCTCCTTCTACCTGTCCTGTGCACGCAGGCGTTGTGATGTACACCAGCGTTGCGTTGCACGCGGATGCTGTGGTGTAGACAGGCGGCGTGGTGTGCACAGGCGCTGCGGTGCACGCAAGCATTGTGGTGTACACGGGCGCTGTGTTGCAGATGGTTGCTGCGGTGTACACATTCGCTGTGGTGTACACCGGCGCTGTAGTGTACTCAAGCACTGTGGTGTGCACTGGCGCTGCGTTGCACACGGCTGTTGTGGTGTACGCGGGCGCTGTGGTGTACACGCGCGCTGTGGTGCACGCGAGCATTGTGGTGTACACAGGCGTGGTGGGGCAGATCGCCACCTACATGATGCTCGCGTCGTCGTCGTCGTCGTCGTCGTCGTCGCTCGTCGCTCATCGTCGTCGTGCGCGTGGGCGCGGCTGCTGTGTCGGAGCCACACGGCGGGGGAGGGCGTGACGACATACCCCCCCATGACGCCCATCATCACCGAAAATAAAGGAACTCGCTCCTAGCCGCTGAGACAACGACGTGAGACAGAGTAAGACAGGATTGCGGTAGTCAAAATGCTTCGCTCCTGTGAGGACTCCGAGTGTGTGGCTGGTGTCCAGAACGGACTCCACTAGCGCCTCGATATGCGCCGCTTGTGCAATGTACGTCAGTGCCCACACTGCTGCCATCAACTCGGATGAACAGAAGACTGTTTTGCTGGAAGTGCTTCCTTGAGGTCATCAGGAACTTTTTTGGTGATGTAACCTGGAATGGACAAGGACCCGTCCTGGTCATGAGATATCGCTGCGACTGCTGCTGCAGGGACGACTGGAATTTCAGCGATCCCGCTGCCTCTCATTTCATCCATCTGTATATATATATATATATAAGAAAACAAGAGAGAGAGAGAGAGAGAAAGAGAGATTCGCACCGGGTGAGGGAGGGAACGAGAGAAGGGAACACATCTGTTCCTGGCCTGGGCAACGGGAAGAAAGGGGAAGATCTTGGAGGGCCTGCTTGAGGCCGTCCTCGAACGCTTACCAGGCTGACGTGCCATACAGGAGGTGAGGAGGGGAGGGACTGCTGCTAACATTGGCGTCGGCCTCAGAAGTAGTCACATGACTGCTGCATCCCCTTCGGCGGCACCACCCCCCAACGTCGGACTGGCTGCCGTTGCCTCCGCTGGTTCGGGGTCTGGATCGCGGCTCCGATAGCGTCCCCCTGCTTGAGGTCCATCTTCTCGATCTTAGCGCTCTACTCTGGGTCTTGGTGCCAGGGCTGCTTACACTGGTAGGGTACCTGCTGTCAGGAAGGTCTGTTGTGCCTGACCCGCTGGGCGAGTTGAGCTTGTGCTTGCACCGCCGCTGCATGCGTATTGGCTTGGGCTTGGGCCTGGGCGGCCGCTGCCGTCGGGTCGAGGTTTGCCTGCGGCGCCTCCGTTGCTGGGGCCCCTCGGCTGCACAGGAGCTGATGGCGATCCTGGAGCGGGAGCCGCAGCCTCGACCTGCGGCTGCGGCCCGGGGCCCTGGCCTGCCGCCGCCCGCGGGGGCTGGCGGGTGGGCTTGCCGCCCCTGCCCCTCAGCGCGCCCGTGTCCTGCAGATTCCGGATGGCTGTGGCCGTGCTGCTGAATTGCGCCGTGACCTCCGTGGGCTGCTTCTGCTGCTGGGCCGTGATGGGGAGGCCAGGCATCCATGTGACTGCTTGACCTGTTTGCACCTCGGCGTGGGTATTCCGACCGGCTTGGGTAGCTTGTTGTTGAGTCTCTCTTTTCGTTGACACCTGGAGCTCGGCACAAGCCGTTCTCATGTGTGCCAGGTCATGTCGATAACGTCCAACATCTGTCGTCAACGCGTCGAGCAGGATGGCCGTCTTGTGGCGGTCGTCGTTGGCTGGGTCGCCTCGTCCTGCTTGGCAATCTGCTTGTCGAGCCCGCGAGGCTGGTACATTATTGTGAGAGGGCTGCTTGGCCTGGTAGCGGTCGTGGATCAGGGTGTCGAGCGCCTCGAGCCGCGCCGTTGCCTTCTGCTGGTATGTCTCCTTCTCCGCGTCAGTGGTTGTTGGCGGCGTTAGCGCGCGTTACATCTGATGAGTAACAGCCTCCGATTGTAGCGCAGGGCGTATGTGGAGAAGATCCGTGGCGGAAATCTGGTCGTCCTCCCATTCTTCCCCGTCGTCTTCCTCGAGCCCGTCCTGCAGCGAAGCTGGAGTCTGGGGTGAACTTGGCGGAGCTGCACTGGATGACCGCGCCTTGCCCTTGCCGTTGCCCTGACCCATGCCCTTGCTCTTATCTGACTTGTCCTTGCTGATCGTGACCGCCTTGGCATCCTTGCCCTTGCCACTCTTGGGCGCGGAGGTCTTGCCTCTGTCCTTTCGGGGTGCCGTACTCTACTCGGGCTGGCGCGCACGCTCGGCACGTGGATCTGTGCTGCCAGTGCTGGGCGCCACACCTAGGACACGTCCACATATCCGGGGCCCATGAGCCCGAGCCAGATGCTCGCCACGATGAGCGCTGCACCAGTCCTTCTTGGCGACTGTTGCGTTCGTCGTCAAGAAGTCGCCGTGCTCCTCCGAGACGTACGAGTGATCTCGCAAGAGAGTGCTTCGCGCGGGCACGACGGTGCCACGCAGGTTCGTGTTCGCGGCGCGGCCGCACGGGACGACGGACAACTTTGGCGGCTGTTGCATGGGGCCGACGCCGGGAGGGTCCTCGCAGATACCTGGTGCCTGCTCCCAGAGGTTCCTCGAGCCCGGACGGCTCCCAACTGTACTTGCTCCTTCAGATACCTAAAGGTCGCAATGGACCTGAACTGTGGGAGGGGAAGGAGGATGGGGGCAGGTTCTCCCGTCCTTTGAAGCTCTTTACCCTCCTCATCCTTCCCAGTCTTCCCCCTCATCTCCCTTTATGTTCCTCCTCCTCCCTCAGTCCTCCTTCCTCCTTCCTCCTCCCTTTTCTCTCCCCCTCCTTTCTCCTCCCTTTGGCGGCGTTGGGTGGGCGGGTGGGTGGGTGGGTGGGAGGATGGTATGTTTGGTACCTGGGTGTAGAGCATGGGGGGTCGAGGTGGACGAGGAGGGGGCACGGACGATGAGCATCATGGTGATAATGATGGCGTTGGTGTCGGTGGCGACGATGGTGGTTGTTGTGTTGTGAACGATGGCGGTGATCTTGATGCTGATGCCGATGACGACGATGGTGATGATGGTGGTGATGATGATGATTATGATAGTGATGATACTGATGCTGATGATGATGCTGCTGGTGGTGGTGATGGCGATGCTGACAATGGCGGTGAAGGTGGAAATGCTTTTGGTGATTAAGAAGATGATGCATATTCTGATGAGGATGCTGATGCTGATGATGATGTTGATGATGAGTAGGACTATGTTACTGCTGATGACGAGTCTGATGGTGGTACTGGCGCTGCCGATGATGATGCTCACGATGATGATGATGATGAGGATGAGGATGATGAGGAGGATGGCGATGACGACGATGATAATGATGATGATACTGATGCTGATGCTGATGCTGATGCTGACGCAGCTGATGGTGATGATTGTAATGATTGTGATGGTGATGGTGATGACGACGACGATGCTGACGACGATGATGATGATGATGATGATTATGATGATGAGGATGATGATAATGATGCTGCTGATGATGATGGTGATGATGACGATGCTGATGGTGATGGTGGCGGTGATCGTGATGATGATGATGATGATGGTGGAGGTGGCGCTGGTAGTGATGATGATGAGGAGGATGATGAGGATGATGATGATGATGGGGATGAGGATGAGGATGCTGGTGGTAATGATACGTGTGATGAAGATGCGCGGTGCTGATGCTGCTGCTGATGATGATCGAGGCGGTGATGATGATGATGACGGCCAGGTTGACGTGGTTGGCTATGCCGACAATCATGATGATGGTGACGGTAGCGGTGGCGATGGTGATTGTGGTGTTGATGACGATCATGTTGGTGATTGTGACCAGGATTGTCGTGACGTGGATGCTGATAGTGGCGAGGTTGATTGTGGTGCTGATTGTATGGCGGCGACGATGGCGGCGATAATGCACAATGTATGTAATTGGTAAGGGTGCTGGTGGTGGTTTCGATGTCGGTGAATGTGATGACTCTGTTATTGGTCCTGATCATAATCATGACCATGGGGATTGAAGAGTAGGAGTCAGACGATTTGGGACACGTGGAGAAAGAGGCGGAGCAGGAGACAGAGGAGGAGGTGTACTCGGACGTCGAGGACGTCAAGGAGTCACAGGACGAGGAGGAGGAGGAGGATAGAGGAGGACGGAGGAGGTGAGGCGGGGGGGTGCCAGGGCAGGCTCCGCCGCTCCCCGATCTGCCCTCCGCGCACCGCGCTGTCAGAGGTATGTTTTTTCAATCCCGCGGGGCCGCCTGGCCCTGCGCTCTGCAGCATGCTACCAGCTGTTAGGTTTCATTTCGCAGCTCGCAGCTCGTTTTCGAGCCCCATTTAAGTCTCCCCCCGTCTTCAGCCGTCCGTCGCGCAGAAGCAAGCACACCACGGCCTCAGGTGAGGTGTCGCGGGGCTGCTTGCAGGCCCACGGGCCACCAAACGAACGGCCTGCGGACAACCTGTCCTGGTGATGTGGTCGAGAGCTTCGTGGGCCTGGGTCTTGCACAGATGGGCCGAGTCGGAGGTCATGGCATCCCCTGGACTATGCCGTCTCGGGGGCTGCAGCGAGCAGGACACATGTCTCCTCCTTCTTCTCCTGCTTCTCCACCCTCTTCTCCGCTTCCTCCTTCCACTGCCCTCCCTCCTCAGGCAGCAGGCACATCAAACAAGAAATCGGCATTGCAGCAGGTGCCCCACAGAAGCGCTGGAGCACAAAGGGACACTCAAAGATCGACGAAGAATGCGGCCCAATATTTTGCATGTTAAAGTTCACTATCGTATTTGCCTACTACGTTCTCTGCTCCGTTTCATCTATCCCGCTTGCCAGAGCCCCTGAGACAGCATCTCCGTCTCCTGCCCACCCATGCCGCTCCCGGCTCCTCTGCGAACGCCCCCCAGTGGAGCTGCGGCTGGCGTCCCATCTTCCTCGCACGTCTGCCGTTCGCAACACATTCCCCCCTCTCCTTGCTCCGTCCTCCCGCCCTCCACCGTCGTTGGACTTGGACTGGGTCAGGGCACAGACCGCACGGGGGAGGTCTCTTGGGAGCGCGCAGCCTGCCTTCTTGCACTCGCTCTCAAGCTTCACCATGCCCTTTGCGTGCGATCATCTGGGCCTGCACGCTCATACCATGCAGCGGGCATCTCGAGCTGGGGCGCGCAGTGCGGCCTGAATCCTGTCCGCAGCCGCTTGCGATCCTGAGCACCCCCCCCCAGCAAGGGGAACGCACCGGCGCGCGCACGCGGACGCACTTTGGGACCGCCCAGCCTCGCACGCGTGGAGTCCGCCCGACGGCGCCGCCAGAGCCCGCGGCATCCGAGCGCCAGGTTGCAGCAGCTTCGTGGCGCGTCGACGAGGGCGGCGTGCCCAGCGCGGACACTCCGGGCCGAGTGCCGCCAGTGGCCCCGAACCGGCCGGCATCGAACGATCCTGCGTGATCGAAGAGCTGCGATCGTTCCAGGTCTCGGGGGTTGCCAAGGGTGCCCCCGACCCAAGGTGCCCCCCCACATCCTAGAGCTCCTGGGGCCCCCTGGGCCTCGTGGTGGGGTGCTCTGGAGGCCGTGGGGGGACTCCTTGAAAGTCCTGGGGGCCTCCTTGGGCCAAGCGCACATTTAGCCACACCGGGAGGTCGAGTGGTCTTCGCGGTGCCAGAAGCCACCGCGCAGGTCGCCGTGTCGCGAGGGCGGGAGCGCGGGGCAGGCGCCTGGGAGGCTGCGGGGGTGCTCTCGGGTTGCTGGTCCGAGCAGCCCCTGGCCGCCTTGACCTGCGCCAGCGCAGGCGCGAGGGGGCCGCGGGGGGAAGTCATGAGCGGCGAGCAGAGCTGTGTCCGTGCCCTCGCGGTCTGGATTCCCGGGCGCGATCCGGCGGATACGCGGTCGCACGGATGTGTTCCCCGCGGGGCATCCGTGGAAACAAACAACCGCCCCGTGTGCGCGGGGGCGCGGCCGAGGGGCCGGGCCCGCGAGGCCGCGGGCACGGACAGGTGTGCTGCCCAGGAGGAAGCTCTTGGCCGGATGGGGGAGAGGCAGCGGTGGCATGGGAGGGAGGATGCTTTGATGGCGGCTGTGGCGATTGTGGTGATGTTGATGGCGGCTGCGCCGACGAAGATGGTGATTCCCCCTCCTCCTCTTCCTTCAGCCCTCCATCTTCTTTCTACCCTTGGCAGGACGGGGGGGTTGGTTTGATGGCAGCTGTGGCGATTGTGGTGGTACTAATGGCGGCTGTGCTGATGCTGCTGGTGATTCCTCCTCCTCCTCCTCCTCCTCCCTCCTCCTCCTGCAGCCCTCCGTCCTCCTCCTACCCTCCACGTGCGGCAGCCGTCGCTCGCGCGCGTTGGCCGCTGTGACAGGCGGGCGGGTGCGCTTTAGATAGTTTTTAACATCATGCTCGACGCTTTCTCCGAGGGCGAGGAGCCTAAGACGCCCCCCCAGCCCCCAGCGCCATGGTCCGCTGGCCACCAGGGGGCCCTGGGGAGGAGGGTCGAGCTGTTGAGCGTTTGTGGCCTTTCGGGTCTTCCAGGGGGAGTGGCCCAGGAAGGGCCAGACAGACCCTGCAGAGAAGCCAAGAGGTACCAACAACAAATCGATCGATGTTTGTCCTTCTCCTGTTTTGTTGGAGGCCTCTGGAGGATCTGATTGGTGGTTCCTGCCCCCCCTGGCCCAGGGCCCAGTTTCGCAACGCGTGGGCCCCCTTGAGCTCTTGACCTCTTCCCTGGGAGAGTTGTTTCGCCCCGGGTACAGTCAAGACACTGAACTAATAACCTCACTGGGCTCAGGAGGGGATCTAGGTTTCGGGCTTTTCCTGAAGTCTAGACCAGAGAACCTACATTTGTGGAAGAGGCTCGCCGTTCCCCATGACAGCACGATGACTGTAGACGACTCAGTGTCCGACAGCTGGGGAAGCTGGGGCGTGAGTTCGTTGGCCGACCAGACGACTCGGTGTGTACGCGGCTTGCTTGGGCCGGGCCCGGGCGAGAGTCTCGTACACTTGTGGCCAGACGTCCTCACAAACGAATCCGGCCACGTGGGCGGCGCAGCAAAAACGGGCTGGATCGCGCAAGGTCGCGCGTGAGCGCTCTCGTTTCCGCATGTCGCGTGCCACGCTGGCGGCTCGCGTGAGACGCCGCGTAGGGTCGCTCTGTCATCGCGTTCCGTCGCCCCGTCGCCCGCGTGTGGTTCTCTGGCCTCCGGGCCCCCCGAGCCCCCCTTTCAGTGGCCCGCGGACCATGGCCCCCAGAGCGCCGAGGCCGTGGCCGTCCAGCCGAGGTCGCGGCCGGCTGGCGCGTGCCGCCGCTGACGGGGACAGCTGCGGGCGGCACGGGGGCGCCCAGAGTCGGCGCCCCCGCCGAGAGGTGCGGGCGCCTGCCCACACCTAGCGCACGGTTGGAGACCGCGGTCGAGGAACGGCATCGGGCTGCGAAGGTCCTCCTCTCGTTCCCCTCCCTCTCATTCTCTCGCCCTCCCTGCCCATCTCTCTCTCTCTCTTACTCGTTCTCTCTCTTTCTCTCTCTCTTTTTTTTGTTTTTCTCTCTCTCTCTCTCTCTCTCTCCCTCTCTCATCATGACCTCTCTGTGCGTATCTACATGCACACGAATGCACAAGCACTTTCTGCGGCCGCCGATTGGAAAGGGCGTGGGGCGACTCCCCCTTCCCCACTCCCCTCCGCAGGGGGTCTGTGAACCGAACATGTGACAAGCTACAACCACCTTGGAACATATTCCAACCATGCCCAGCCAAATTCCAACCAGCCAAGTATCAATACCAAATTCTAGACGCTTCGCGTATCCCCACCAGCCCGTCCAGAAACGACGCCCAGGCAAGTAGAGGGTCGTCCTGAGGGGCTTTTCGGCGTCTTGGGTGCCTCGGGGGGGCCTCTGTGGGCCGTTCGGGATCCTCTTTGGGGCCTCCTGGGGGCCTCTTGGGGCCTCTTGGGGCCCTCTTGGGGCCTCTGGGAGCACCTTGGGTGCCTCTGGGGGGTCTCTTGGGGCCTCTTGGGGGTCTCTTGGGGGCCTCCTGGGGGCCTCTTGGGGGGCCTCTTGGAGGCTTGGGCTCCTCTTGGACCCGTCTGGGCGCCCTTGAAGGCCCTGCTGGGGCGCTCTTGGGGCAATCTTGGAGGACATCGGTCAAGGAAGTAGGGTTCCTTAATTAGAGCCCCCCCCCAGGAACTCCAAAAATCGTCTCCTGTACCGCTCTGGGACCGCTCTTGGAGCGCTCTTCGGCGCTCTTGGCGCCGTCATGGGGCTTTCTTGGGCCCTTCTTGGAGCTATCTTGAGCCATCTTGGAGCCATCTTGACGCCTCGGATGTGCATCGCAAGCGAAAAAGTGAGAACACCAAAAACATTGATTTTCCCTAGGGTTTTGAAGCATTTTGGCCTCTTGGATGCATCCTAATGATGCTCTTGTGGGCACTTGGAACCGTCTTGGAGAGTTCTTGGAACGTCTTGGAACATCATGGGGACCATCTTGAGGCATCTTGCGCTATCTTGAGCCATCTTGGAGGGTATCTTGGGCTTCCTGAGGCCCTCTTGGAGCCGTCTTGGGCCATCTTGGGCGCTCCAACGCGCCGCGGAACCCCCTCTTCAGGTCAGTGGGGAGGGGGTAGGGGGAGGGGTAAACCCCTCCCCGAAGGGGAAGAGGGAGGGGTGGAAGAGGAAACTCGTTAAACCACCGACGCCCAGAGGGCTGGTGGGACTCCTCGAGCTGTCTGGGAGTCATTTCCTGAGAGATGCATAACATATTTTCTAGGCGTTCCTGCGAGATGTCCTGAGGTATTTCCAAGGAGATTTCTGCAGAGATTCCTGCAGAGATTCTTGAGGCATCTTGCCGAATATTCCTGAAAGGTCCTTACAGGACCCCTGGGAGATCCTTGCATGATCCCCGAGATATCCTTACAGGATCCCCTGGAACGTCTTGCGGGATCCCTGAGACAGTATCACGGGGTCCCTGCGAGATCCTTACAGGATTTTTGAGAGATCCTTAGAGGTCCCCTGAAAAGTCCTTACAGGACCCTTGAGATCCGAACTGGAACCATGAGAGGTCCTTACAGGATCCTTGAAATAGCGTTACAGGATCCTTGCCAGATCTTCACAGGATCCTTGAAGGACCCATGAGGTTCTCGGAGAGTTACCGGACCCCTGACAGATCCTTCCGGTGTCCCCGAGAGATTCTAACGGGATCCCTGCGCGAGATGCTTACGGGATCACGGAGAGATCCTTGCATGATCTCTCATGGATCGATCGGCTGCCACCTCTTTTCTTGTGGCACGGGATTCCCCCCCCACACCCCCGAGGGTTTCGCGAGGCACCAAGGGCGATCGGGCGTTATGATCGTAAGCTGTGTGAATCGCCCGTCTCCCCGGCCAGCTTCGCGAGACTTCGTAAGGTATTGCTGCCGACTGTGCCCGACGCCCGTTGCTTCGGAAGCTGAGGGTCGCCTGGTACCGCGACCCGCAGAGTGTGCCCGACGAGTTTGGCAACGCTGCTGCTCAGGGCTGGGCGCAGCTAGTCGTGTGCAGCCCCAATTACCAGTGTCGCGGGCTCATGTGAAGCCCCAGTCCAGCACCACCTCGAGCCACCGACGGAGAGGTCAGTGCGCGAAACATTGTTACACAGGCCTGCGACTACTTTGCACAGGGCGCGGCGCTGCCCATCTTGCTCCCAGACTGGAATAAGGTTGTTGAGTCGATAGATGACTCTTACGTCGGGGAGGAGGTGTCGCGGGCGCTCGGTGGGATAATGCCCAGCCTCCCAGCCAAGGGGCTTGCTGTTTCGGTCAAGGCCCCCGACATGGCGGACGCCCGTGTCGGTGGATGGCTGGTTGATCCGACGCTCGCGCTGCTCCCAAAGCCGGAGTGGGGAGGTCCCGTGGGCGTTGATTCGGGCCACGTCTATTGCTCATGATCTTGGGTCGTTGTGTCCGTGCTGCAAAATTTCGGCGGCCATTCATTGGGTTCCTCAGCGGCGCGTGGGCTGCAGGGCGCTGGCGTTGCCCTCAGGCGATCCCGCTCAGCATGTGTGACGAGCTGCTGGGCTTCGCCACGGCGCTGCCGATGGAGTTCGCAGGTTTCAGAGCCCGGATCGACCCGCGCATCATTCATCGCGACCAACGCAAGCGAGCAGGCTGGCCGCATCTGCCACACCGTGGGGCTGTCGGCCCAGGGCCGCGCCTCTGCGAGAGGCGAGACCTCGGCCATCACGCCGCGGCCTGCATCGGCGACCATTCCTGTCGCAGGCGTCTGGTAGCGTCCGAAGGATGTCCTCGTCGAGCTGTGCGCTGCGGCGGCCGTTGCCGCCTCCGGGCCCCCAGTCACGGTGGTCGCTCGCGTCAGCTGCGACGCGGGTTTCGTCCTGTCCGCGTTCCGTCGAAGAGCCATGTGGATCTTGGAGACTGTTCAGAATTACCATCGAGTCGCGTGCTGAGTTCTCGCGGGCGCTAGAAGTGACCCCCGTTCGCGCGCGTCCGGCGCTTGAGACTGTCATGGCGTCCTTGGCCGGTGGTCACAAGTCTTTCACCCGGTGCGACGGTGGTCAGCAAGGGTGGGGGGATAGCCAGGTGCTACACGATCGAGGTGGATGTCAATCGCGTGCCATTGGAGGCGGCGCTCCTCTCCTCTCTGGGTGGTCGGTCCTCGAGCCGGCCGTGGACTTCCCCTGCTTCGATTGGGTGGCCGACGGCTGCTATGCGGCGCGCGGGCGAGGTCGGTTGCGCGACCCGGAGGAGCCCGACGCACTCGTAGGATTCGATCGGTTGCGCCCCGAGGGGACCGTCAAAGATTGCGCCCCGTCGGCAGAGCGAGACGTCATCATCGAGTCCCTCATTGGCAGCGTTTTCTGCGCCCATGCTTTCAATCATCTTTTCGGGTCGTGGCTGGCGCAAGCCGGGGCGATCGCGACCGCCGCCCCTGGGCGTCTGTGCCGCGGCGTCGATGTGCGAACTGGAATGTCGCCCTGCACATTCGGCAGCTCGGGCGCGGCGATCCCGCGCCGGGGCGCGGCCTTATAGCGGGGCCCCCGCGGATCGCAGACAGGGGTGGCCCCGACGCCCGCCTCGACAGCGGCGCTTCTTATCGAGCCCGAGCGCGGCCGCGGGCTGGCCCGCGCGCGCGGCGGCGGCCGCGGATCGCCGAAGGCTTCCAGCGGGGGCGGGGGTCCGCGCCCGGGCGCCGCGGCTGCGGGCGGCCGTGGCTGGAGCGCGCTGGCGGTGACGAGCGGTCGGGAACCGTCGCGTCGATCCCGCTAGCTTCGCATTTTGATGCCCGAGCGATTGCTGCCATCGGCGCCGAGTGCAGTTCGAGTGCGAGGGCGCTGCAGACTGGCCTCCCTCCGCAGGCTTAGCGCCCTGCCCCCCGCGGCTGTGGGCGCCCGCTTTTGGGCCGCTGCGCGGTCGAGGTGGAACTTCGGCAATGTCAAAGATCATGCGAGCAGCGGCAGAGGCAGCGGCGCGACGGCGGCCGCAGCGGGGGGCGATGGTCGCACCGCTCACGCTCGAGCGCTACCAGGCAGCCGCGTTCGACGTCTTCGACTTCCAGGCGACAAGCGGCGCGGCCCTAAGACGCCAGCTCAGGCGGATGTCAACCTGTCCGCCTTCATCGAGAGCTGCTGGCCGCAGGGCGGCTCGTTGTCTGAGGTGAGCGACGCCATCGCTGGGCCCCCGCGCCAGTTTCCGCCTGCGGGGGGCCGCCCGCGAGCGAGTTGGCGTCGAGCTGGATTTGGCCGCGTCGGGGGCCAGCTGGCCGCGCGCCGCCCATCAGACCCCTCGCGGCTGCTGCTTTCGCGTGGCGCAATCCTTCAGGCAGGTGAGATTGCCGCGCGGCGGTGGAGCGACGCGCAGCTGCTCCTCCTGCAGCATCGCGCGGCTCGGTGGCCGCGAGGGGCCAAGAGCCAGCCGGCACTAGTCAGGTGCTTGTGATTTCGCCGTGGCGAGGGGCAGGGTCGCCGACAGAGTTCTCGCCGAAGCTGGAGCAGCAGCGGCGCTAGACAGCGCGCGCCTGGGCTCGAGGCCGCGCGCCATCCAGCAACTACCTGTTCGGCCCAGCGCGGGGGCTGCCGGACTTTGCCAGCGCTCGCGCAAGGAGGGGCGTCGGCAGACTTCAAGAGCCGCGGCGCCATGGAGCAAGCGCTGCCGCGAGGGCGAGGCGCCTCGGCGCGGGCGGCGGGGCCGCGCGCCCGCGGCGCCGCCGCCGAGACCGCGGCGCGAGTTTGTCGGCGGTGCAACTCCGGCAACGAAAGTGGTTCGCAGCACAATTGCGAGCAAAAGCAAGCCAAAGATGTCGCTGGCGGGGTGGCTTGGGGGGTCCGTTCGGGGGGGTTGAGGCAAATTTTCCGCGCGGAAGTGTTGCAGATATGTTTGTCGCAAATTCAAGATTGAGGCAGGCGGCAGCTCGGGCCTCTCTCCCTCCCGTTCAAGTCGGACTTCTGCCTGTGTCCTGTCTGCGCCCGCCCTATGTTTGGCGGGGGGGCCTGGGGTTTGGGCGGCTGAAGCGGGTGGGGGGGCTCTGTGCTGAGCCAGGTGGCGCGTGGCAGCTGGAGCGCGAGGGCGGGGCCCATCCCTAGTCGCGCAGCCGCGGCTTGCCCAGCGCGCGCGGTGCGCGCAGGAATGGGTTTCATCGCGCCCCCGCCGCCCGGCCGCCTTCCTCCGGGGCGTTCCGATTAACGAAGTTCCTTGGTGGAGCGCGCAACAAGGGGCGCGGTGTGCGCGTGGCATCTGTTTGCAGGGGGCCCGTGCTAGTCTACCGGGCTGCCGCCGCGCCTGGAGAGCCAGACTTGAGAGCCATGCGGTGCGTGGCAGCTGGAGTGCGAGGGCGGGGCCCATCCCAAGTCGCGCAGCTGGGGCTAACCCCGCGCGCGCGGCGCGCGAGGCGGGCGCCCTCGCGCCCCCGCCGCCCGGGCGTCCTGGCCTTGGAAATTCCTGGTGGGGCCTGCCAAAGGCGTGGGATGAACGCATATATATACACACATATATACACATCTTTGTGTATAGATTTACATCTTCCCATTCATATACCTGGCAACTGAGCCCAGTTCCTCAGAAAGCAGGCCAAAACCTTTAAGCGCAACCACTGCTAGTGGTGTACGTTCACTTTTTATATGTATATATATATGTATAACTGTAGGTAACAGTTCCCCGAGGACTCCTACACAACTCCCGTTTGGAAGCCGCCCGGGTTTCAAGTCAGATCCACGCGGGAAATCTGCATCTTTCTCACCGCACCGATCCATTTCCCATCTGACAAGCCCCAAGTTGATGCGATGCTTTCTTTTTTTCCGGAGTGGCGCATGCGAGATTACCATCTGAAGCCGACGCCTTCCTCAATAACTTACATGACAAACCATGCGCGTGTAGTACTGCGTCAGTGCTTGCTGCACATAAGCGCAGCGCATTTTTCTGGGAAGGCCCCGCATGTCCAAGGTGAACGATATACAACTATCGAACTGTTGTTGTTTTCACGTGAGTCCAGACCAGCTTGCAAGAGGAAGCGGTTACGCTTCTCTGATGTACACTGCTGACGGTTTCTGAGTATACGGCGCACTTGGTCCGCACCAGCCACGTCTTCATCGACAGTTGTACAACTTGTTACAACAAATAGCCCAGGACATCATTCATATGACGAATTTGCGGTTGACTTTGCACACCATACAATAGACATATGAGACGTGCAACAGACCATGTGCAAGTTACATAGATCTCATACCATACAACACAAACCCATCGATGTTCAAGCTGCTTCAATGTGCCACAATCAGAATCCGAGCGTGCGGTTTCAGATGGCTGGTTGTACTTGTGCCAGTCGACTTTTCGGCTGGTGGAGAATTCGCACGGACGGTTGGAATGAGTACACGTGGGTTGCGATTGGTCCGTCATGCGAATCCCCCCGACCCTCCCTCCCTTCATCGCCGCTGGCAAACGACGACGGCGGTCGCCGACGCTGGCAAACAACGATGCCGACGACGACAACAACAGACGACGGTCCTCGTCATTCTCGTCGTGGGTTGCCGTTTGCCGGTTCCCGCCGTCGTCGCTTGCCTGTGGCTAGACGGGGGCGACAAAGGTGGGGGGGAGTTCGAACACCCCCTCTTTCATTCGAGAGTGGTGGGGGGTGAGTCAGGGGGGATATTGGGAGGAGGACCCCCCCCCCGTTTTTCAGGCGCCCGCCTCTCCTTTTTCCCGCGCTTTGTTGGATGCTCCCAAGACAAGCGCTCGTGGGTCGCGCTGCCTCATTCCCAACCATCCTCTGGTGTTGGGTCCTCGTTTTGAAGAGTCGGTCCCCAGGTCTTTCCTCATCCCCTCATCTTCCTCCCCCTCCCTCCTCCCCCTCCTCCGCACAGGGAGCCCCATCGAAGGTGCCAGTGCTACCGTCCGCATGCGTTCCCCCCACCCACACATTTCGTGACCCCATATGGAGCCCCACCGAAGGTCCCAGTGGTACCGTCCGCATGCGTAGTCCCACCCAGTACACCGCTTCGTGGCCCCATAGTGAGCTCCACCGAAGGGGCCAGTGCTACCGTCCGTATGCATCTGGAAATCCACATTTGGCGTTTGCACGCGCCCAGTACTGCGCTTCGTAGCCCCGTAGGGAGCTCCACCGAAGCCCCCACTGGGACCGCCCGCGCGAGTGCCGCACACCGAATTTGGCATTTTCACCCACCCCGTACAGCGCTTCGCGGCCCCATAGGGAGCTCCACTGAAGCCTCCAGTGGGACCGCACGCATGCGCCCCACACGCCCAATTTGGCATTTTCGTCCGCCCGGTACAGCGCTTCGTGGCCCCACAGGGAGCTTCACCGACGGCTCCACTGCTACCGCCCGCATGCGCGCCCCCCACCCAGTGCAGCGCTGCGTGGCTTCATAGAGAGCGTCACGGAAGAACACATTCATACTTTCCGGTACCCGCAACTGCATGTGGTTGGGACTTCCGCCAGGATAATATAATTGTAAGCGTTGTGTTGTTGTTGTTGTTGCTGTTGTTGTTGTTGTTGTTGTTGCTGCTGCTTGATGTATATATATATATGTATGTATATATATATATGTATTCGCATATATATTTATATATGCATATATATATACATATCACGTGCTCGTATGTTAGCACGTATAACATATCAGAAAACGAGTTAATTGCGTTTTGGAGCGCATTTTTTTCGGATGAATCGTGATGGCTGGGATAGAGAGGGGCGATGGGGGGAACAGGAGAGGACGAGGACGAAACGGACTGTGTGCATAAAACGAGGGTGAGGAGGCGGAGGAGGAGGATGAGCGTTGAGGTATGAGTAGATACGAGGAAGAGGAACAGGCGAGATACGTGGACGAGATATGGGGCAGGAGAAAGACGAACAGGATTCAGGAGGGATGCTTGAACACAGGGCAGGGAGACATATTGAAGTCGTGCGACGAACAGGACGAGGATGATGATGATGAGGAGGAGGAGGAGGCGGAGGAGGAGGAGGAAGAGGAGGAGTAGGACGAGGATTGTGGGCGACACCCTACCACCTCGGCCCTGCTTTCCCCCCTTCCCCGTGCGAACCTTCCACATCCAACCATTCAGTTGTCCCAACTTCCCGCCTCAGGGCAACAAAGGGCGTTGCGCTGTGTTGCGATGCCTCGCGATTCGATCCGAAGTGGTCCTGGATCGGCACCCCGCCCGACCGCCCCCCCCCCCCTCGCCGCCAGCCCCGCGCTGTTCGCCCATCCCCCTCCCTCTCCCCTCCCTCTGCCCAGCTTGGGCTCCTCCCCTGCCCCATCCCTGCCCTGCCCTGCCCGCCGCCCCCGCCCGCCCGCGATGGGGCGCTCCCCACGCTCCCTGCCTCGACCCGCCCGCCCCCCCGCCCTCCCGTCTGCCAAGCAAGGGGTAATTCAGAAGCTAGCGCGGCTGGAAGGGGAAGGGCTCGCCCTCCCTCTCTGGGCCTGCCCGCTCTCTCCCTGCCCGCCCTCTCCCCCGCCCGCCTTCCCCCCCCCTTGCCTTCGCTGGTGCACGGAGGGCGCGGAAGTCGAAGCCCCGACGGGGAGACGGGAGCGAGGCGAGGCTGAGCAGGGCGAGTGGCGAGCGTCCTGTGCGGGCAACGGTGGCGAGGACACCCCTCACACTGCGAGCGGCCCGGGCGGCAGCACGCCTGCCCGCCCCGTGCCAGCCGCCCCTCCCGCTCCCCCACGGTGCCCGCGCCCGCCGCCGGCCCGCAGCCACCTCTGGCCCGAGAGACCGGAGCAAGCCTCTGCCTGCCCGTGCCGCGGGCTCCGAACCTCGCAGACTCCTCTCCCTGGCGCGCGCCCGCCCGCCGGGGCGCGCCGGTGCACGCGTGGGCCCAGACACCCTCGGGCCTCCGCACCCCTCGCGTCGTTCGTGCGTTTCCCCTTGTCCTCTGTTCCTCCGCGGCGTTTCACCGGAGCAGGCCCCCAGAGGCCGGGATTGAGGAGGCGCGCCTGGGGCAAACCCCGATGTCGGAGGTATTGGGTGTGGATGTTGTGTTCCCTGCTGCGTCTCCCCCGCCATCTCCGTCCCTCGGCCGCCAGCCCCTCTCGCCTCCCCTTGACCCTCGGTCTCCACTTGCCTCGGCCTCACATGCCGTCCGTCGTCACGCGCACGCTCCGCGATCGGACTCTTATGCTCGACGTCGGCTCACACGTTCGCGCGCTTTCCCGCTCCGCGGCTGGGCTACCCTCCATGGCTCCGATGCTTTCTGTACCAGGTCCAGAACGCACGCTCTCATGACGAGCAAGTGGTCTTCATATGCAGCGGTCTCGCGCCGCGTCGACGCGGCGACGACACCAGCGCCCAGCGTTTAAAGTTAAATGCCAGTGGTGGCCTGAACCAGGCCAACTTTGAACGAGATTCGCTCTCGGGTAGCGGAGGCCGCTGGATATTGAACCATCCATGCGATGAACCATGAACCATGAACCACAGTCTAACGTCCGGGCATGTCGACACGATGGCATCCAGCCGCAGTCTGGTTCGGTGAAAGCACGTGCAGTCGATGCAGCGGCCTGCGCGCATTGAACGAGCTTCACTGGTCAGCAAGGACTCTCACGTCTTCGCGTTGGCCTAGCGCGTTTCCCCCAATTAGGCTGGCCTGCTTGCCTCAGGGGCTCTTACTTGGTGAAAGGTTGGTACCACGAGTGGCTACATTGCCCATTCCTCGGAGGTTCCCCGGGTACTTTGGATTCTCCGGGTTCCTCGGGTTCCCCGGTTCCTCGGGTTCCTCGGGCTCCCGACCGAGGTTCCTCGTGTTCCTTGGGTTCTTGGGTTCCTCGGTTTCCCCGCGTTCCTCAGGTTCCCCGGGTTCCTCGGTTTCCTTGGGTTCCTCGGGTTCCCCGGGTTCCTGGGGTTCCCCGGGTTCTTTTGGATTTTCCTCGGGTCCATCGGGTTCCTCGCGGTCCTCGGGTTCCCAAGGTTCCTCGGGTTGCTCGGCTTCCTCGGGCTCCCCAAGCAATGCCAAGCACTGCCAAGCAATGCCACGCAATGCCAAGCTATGCGAAGTAATGCTAAGCAATGCCAAGCAATGTCAAACAATGCCAAACACTGCGCCCATGCAATAGGAAGCTTTCCCCTGATTGGGGTCGCGCCGGGTTCATTGGAGGTGGTTTCCAAGCAGCTGGCCCCGTTCGCACGCCCGCACACGCACGAGGCTAACAGGCCAGCTCTGCGATTGCGTAAGGTTTTGGCAGCAAGCTGGCCCAGGCTTTTCAGGGTGAGTAGTCAGTTCGAGGCCGCTGTGCCGAGGTTGTCGTTCGTCAGTGCAGTTGCAGCGCGCAGGGCCCTCCAGTCTCCCTCCATCCAACTGCTTCCTCCTCGTGGTCCTCCTGATGATCAACGGTCTGACCGGCAGCGCCCAGTGCGTCACATTGTCGTCTTCCTCCGTGTCACCCTTGTCAGCACCATTCCTATGTGTGAGGGGTATTTCGTTGTCGTCTTCCTCCTACTCGAAGCTGTCGTAGAGCTTTCGTATCGCATCCCATCGTAATGTCAGCTTGTGATTAACAATGGAGGGTCCCCCCCCTCCCATGGCTGAGGATTGGACCCCGCGGGGCGCGAAACTCATTTTCTAATCACGAGCGCCAGGGGGTCGCCGCGGGCGCCTCCGAGGGAAGCGTGTTCCCTGTACCCCCTGCACGGCCGCCTTAAGACGATTGCCTTTAGTATAGAGGCTGTAGTCGGGACCGTATACATTCGAGGCGAAGTGATCCCACCTCTCAGACTGATTACTCACGTGCCACAGTTGTCGTCGATGTCGTTGTCGTCGTCGTCGTCGTTGTCGTTGTCCTTGTCACCGTCGTCGTCGTCGTCGTGTTCGTTGTCATTGTCGTCGTCGTCGTCGTCGATCACACCACCCCACACGCACCCACCCCCCATGGGACATCCCAGCGCGTCGTCGTCCGTCGTCGTCGCCGTCGTTGTCGATTACATCAGGCCTACGCAGCACCGCCCCCCAATGGGGCATCAGTGCGTTGTCGTCGACTGTTACAGCGGGCCTACGCAGCACCTGCCCCCCTTGGGGCGGCATCCGCAGTGCGTTGTCGTCGTCGTCGTCGTCGTCGTCGTGATCGTCGTCGTCGTCCTTGTCGTCCTGGTCTTCGTCGTCGTCGTCGTCCAAAACGGCCCTGCGCCCCCCCCACCCCAAATTAACTTGGCGCGACCCCAAGAGGAAAGCTTTTTTACTGCATGGGCGCAGTGCTTGGCATTGCTTGGCGTTGGAATTGCTTGGCATTGCTTGGCATTGCTTGGCATTGCTTGGCTTTGGCTTGGCATTGCTTCGCGTTGCTTGACATTGCTTGGTGGCATTGCTTGGCGTTGCTTGGAACTGGCGCAGTAAGAATACGAGGCACAGGGGGCGGGAATCCGGGTAACCCGAGGATGCCGGGGAACCCCGGGAACAGGCTGAAACCCGACGAACCTGGGGAACCCGGGGAACCAGGAACCTGGGGAACCAGGGAACCCGAGGAACCCGTGGAACCCGGGGAACCCGGGGAACCCCAGGAACCCGTGGAACCTTGGGAGCAAGGAGCCCAGGGAACCCGAAGAGCCAGGGGGACCTCCGAGGAACGGGCAAAGTATGCACCCGGAGCACCAAATTTTAACCAAACAAGAACCCTTTAGGCAAGCTCTTGTGAACAAACATCCGCAGCGCGCCCGAGCACGCGCGCCGCGCGTCGTCGGTCGTCCCGTCGTGGGCCCTGGCCATCGCCGTCGTCGAATACAGCGGGTCCACTGAACATCCACCCCGTAGGGCATATCGTAATGGGAAGGAAGTGGGGATGATGAGGGGGTGGAGACAGAGAAGGAGGAGCCGTTACTGCCTGCCTCTGGTGCTCCTCCCTCTCTTCCTTTTCCTGTTTGTAGTTACGGTGGCACCACCCGCCAATTGTGATCCGCCTCTTCCTTCAACCTCCTCCTTCTCTTTTGTCGGTAGGTCTGCAGCCATTTTGGCCCAATCGCCCCGCTGTAGCGGAAGCGTTGCTGCCCCCCCCGCTGAAGCGGCGCCGCTCGCGTCGCGTCTGTCGCCCCCCAGCTGGCGGCTGAGGAGGCCGCGGTTGAACATCCCTTTGCGTAAATTCTAAAATTATTCGTGCCTTAGAAAAGCCGAAATGCAGCCAGGCCCTCTGGGGCCTGTCGCGTTTTTGTTTTTTGTTTTTTTTGTGTGTTGTTTGCGTGCGTGAGTAACTTGCGCTTCAGCGCGCCAGATTGTCGCGCGCGCCCGTGGGTTCAAACGCAGCCAGCGCAAGCTTCAATTCCATTCGACTGCGGATCGCTGCGAGCGCGATCGCTTGAACATGCATTGCGCGACCTTCAGGACCTGGGTTTGTTTTGTGTTATCGCTCTTATGATTGCGCGCGCCCCGAGTTGGGCGCCTGCGTTTGCCCTGGCCGATTGGGTGGGCACTGCAAGGTTTTGCAAGTTTAGGGGCCTCGTGCTTTTCGTCGGCCTGGCTTTTTCGCGTTCTTCGCGCACTCGGGCTTCCGGCAGGATCGCCCGTAAGATGCAAGCGACGCGCGCCCTTCATCTGCTTTGTTTTTGGGGGGGAGGCGCGCGAAAGTGGGAGCCCGACCCATTGCCTCGCCAGCACTAAAAGCAGAATGCATATTCTTCCCTATCGCCCGCGCCCCCCGACCCCCCTTCTCGCGGCAGTGACCCCCTGAAGACCAGTCCCAATGTGCAATTCCATGGTGGGGGTGTTATGTGGTATCGTGCTCTGTCCGCGGCTTTCGGGGCTCTCGTTTGGCGGCCCCGAAGGCCGATGCCGGCGTTTTGCTTCAATTTTGGCCGCGGAGGGATTCCTCCTTCCTCGTGTCTGCCCCCTCCACGTGTCTGTCTCCTCGTGTCTGTCCCCTCCAGATATCCCATCCTGGTCCTTTCATTTTCCCCCCTCTTCCGTTTTCCTTCCTGTTCTTTCTTCCCTCGTCCCTCCTTTTTCGTCCCTCGTCCCTCCGTCCTTCTCTCTCCTCCCTCCCCCATTTTCCCTCCTCTTTCATTCTCCTCTTCTTCCCCTTCGCGAGTCATGGATGATCCTCCATGCCAGACAGCTTCATTAACGGCGATTCCTGCGCTTCCCAAGCCATTCGGCCCCTGGTTTTGCCTCGGCTTGGCTTCGGCTGTCCCGCGGCATTTTCTGGGGCGCCCTGCGGTTTTGCCGCCCGGCGGCCCGCTTTACTTTTATTGTCCCGCGGCTGTCCCGCGGCTGTCCCATGGCTGTCCCGCGGCCGTCCCAGATCAATCCTGGCATTTTTGTCCTGGGCTTCTTGAAACGTCATTTTGGTCGTCACTTACACGCAGCATTACGCAGCAGTTCGCTTCGCTGCACACCATCGCCATCATCATTATAGCTGCAGTGGCAACGGCTGACCCTGTTCGTGTCGTCGTACGGCGGCGGCGGCGGCGACGGCGACAGCAGTCAACCATCAGCCTTTGCAGATTTTTCGCTCTGAGAGCGTCTTGAGGGCCCCTTAGGGCCATAGTGGGGCCCCCGTGGCGCAATTTTGGAGGCCTGGTGGGCCCTTCTGGGGCTGTCTTGCGGACCTCGGGGGCTCTCTTGGGGTTTTCTTGGGTCCCTCTTGGAGGCTCTGGGGGCCTTGTTGGGTCTTGAGGCCGTTGTTGGAGGCCATCGATCAACGAAGGGAGTGGTCTTAATTTGCCCCCCCGTCGGGGCTTTCAAACTCGCCTACTAGGGCCTAATTGGGATGCCACTGGGACGCGATGGGGCACTCGTGGGGCCGTTTCGGGGTCCTCCTGGGCCCCTCGCGGGGAACGCGTGGGCCATTTTGGAGCCATCTGCAGGCTTCGCGAGCCCATCGGAAGCGAAAAAGGCGAGACAACAACACACGCATGTTTCCCTCGCGCTTTTCGGAGGATTTTGGCTTCTTGAGTGCCTCCGTTGGAGGCGCCGTGGCCTCTTAGAGCCGTCTTGGGGTGGTTACGAGACATCATTGAGGCACGTTGGAACCTATCGAAACCACTGTGGGCTATCTGGAGCGATCCTGGAAGCCACCTTGGGCCACCTGGAGCCGTCTTGGGGCTATCTGTGGGCCATCATGGACGTTCTTACCCATGGCGAGGGACGGCTCCAGACCTAAGGGTAGGGGGGGAACCCGCTTTCCCGATGAGGATACCAATTGGATGCGTAGTCTCAGCAGGAATGGGCACGGGCACGGGCCTGGCGGACGCCAGGTGGAAATGCTCAGACGGCAAATCATGGGCACGCAAGCGTAAGCATGTACAACTCGATGCGAGACGGCGTGGGCACGTGGAAATACATGCAACCCCTGCGTGTTGAGCATTTGTGGAAATTGCCGGGCACGGGGGCTCTTGCAAATACCGGTGGAGACACGCGTTGGTAGATCAAGGAGTCCAGACACAGATGGCCAGCGATTGGCGAGCAGGGTGGGCACGCTTGCGCGCGCGAGCGAGCAAAACGCTTGCGCGCGCGAGCGAACGCGCGCAACTGAACGCGAGCACGCGCGAACGCGCGCATGAACATACGAGTGCGTGCGTGAGCTCGCTTTATAGGCAATTCGCGCCGAAATTGCAACAGCGCTTTAGCCGCCATTGATCCCTGTCTAGTCCTGATGCGACCTCGCCGCTGTGCCACAGCAGTGCTGGCGCTGCGCAGCCGCCCTCATCCGCTTTGCTGCGGCTGTCCCTTCCTTCCCTCGCCTCGGCATCATGGCCCCGCCGCTGTCCCGCGGCTGTCTCGCGCGCTCCTTTCTGTGCAAGGGGGTTGTCGCTTCGACGGACGCAAGCCGCGGCCTCCTCGCTGGCGGCCGGGTGTCGAGGCTACTCACCGGCGCCGCCGTGGTGCGTTTCCATCTGGCGGGCATACCCCCGCGACTCGTCCGAGCAGGGAAATCATTTGTTCGACGACGCGCTTGGCTTGCTGTCGTTTGTAACAAACTGACGTTTCCCTCCTCCTACTTCCTCGGCGCACCCCCCCAGGAAACGCAGCGTGGCAGGCCTTACTGGCCGACTTCGGGGGCCATCTTGGGCCCGTGGGCGCAGACGTGCCAATTTACATTCAAGACGCTGTAGTAAGCAGCAGCCCGTGATCGGAAAGGGGCTCGCTGTTCGTCGTGTCTTTCCATGGCTGTTCCTCTGGCGTTCCTCGTGCACCCAGGCGCCACTGGTGCCAAAAACGGTTTTAGTGCCGGGGTGGTGCTCCTCATGGTAGCAGTTTGGCTGTATCGAGTCGATCATCGAACGGGGGCCTCGCCGCATTGAAGCGCCATGGGCCGAACACGTTCCGATCAACAAACGATGGGAGTACCAATCCATGCAACTATCTGTACGCGTGTGAGAGAGGTACAGAAGGAAGGAAAGAGAGAGAGAGAGAAGGATAAAGAGAGAGAGAGAGAGACAGAGAGAGATAACGATACCCGAAAACGTAGGGATCACTCTGTGGCGCTTCAATGCCGGCTGATCCATGAAGGCCCCAGGCCCAGAGACTGGGTAAAGCTCACCCGTCGAATGCGAGGCCCAGCCTTCGCCCTGTAGAATTGAAAATTATCTTGCCCCATTGATGTTCAGGTTGTCTCTTGATTTGGGGGCAGTGCGCCTGGTGCTTTTACCTGTCCGTGTCTTGATTTACTTTCGCAGGTCCCGGGTGGTGTTGAATATTGCGAGCGGGCCTCGTTGTAGTTCGACCAAGACGGGCGTCTAATATCATGGCCGCCGCTGCGCACATTGCTTTTCCAGGGCCACCTTGCGGAGGGCGGACGTGGGTTTCCCATGAATGCAACAAATTGACCAGGAGATGAAACAAGCGAAGGTTGCAGAAACATGATTCGTTTTCATTGAAAGTTCGTTTTTAAGAGACGACTGTGCATTACATATTTGGCTCGTGGAGGGAATTGTATCAAAGAGCACTGAAGACAGCCTTTTTACAGATGAAGTATCTGTTCCTGTTAGAAACAATATTCATTCTTTTGCAGATCACTCAGTATTCAACAGGCGCTGTCGTGGGATCCAGTCTCCTCGTCGCTGCGGATGGGCGCACGCCCACCATGGCGGTGGGCTCAACTAGGGAGGGGGCAAAGACGTAATCGGTGAACGAACGGCGCGGATATTATTGAAAACCTCAAGCACGTTCTCAGCTAGGAGTGGATGCGCGGTCTGCGCACCGCCATTGCGGGCGTGCGGACCGATACGTCGTTTCCAAATGAGTTCCGAGTTGCTTCACAAAGGGGTGGGGCCTCCGATTTCATTGGTAAGAAGCGCGCGGTGGGTCCATTTTCCCCAGGATCCATCGCGGGGTGCGCTCTGACCAGAATTTCGAGGCGGACGCAGCCATGGCGACGAGGAACCCGCTTGGATGTGCAAGCAGGGCGGGGAAACGTCAAAAATATAGAACCTGTTGGCTACGCGTAATGGTGACCCTTCGCTGGAGTGACCTTCGGTGCGGCCCCACAACCGCGCACCAAAGCCCCCGCGGCCACCCCAGGGTTCCCTTCTGAGTCCGTTCAGCGTCTGCGCCCGTTTGGCCGCCAAACTGACCCACGATCGAGCACATCTGGTGGCCGAGCGGACTCAATTCCTTCGACCGTGTCGGAACGGAGCCCGTTCGGCTGCCCAGTCGGCGGCAGAATGGGCTCAGACGCCGAGCGGGTTCGGAGGGGTACACACGCGCATTCTTGCGCGTGGCCGAGCTTCGGAAACCTAGCCTCGGTCCTTGACTGTGCGCCGCCCCAGGGTCCCTGCTGATGGCGCTGCCGGTCTCGGCCCGGAAGGCCCACCGAGTGCTGGGGGCGGAGACGGCCACGACGGCGATGACAACGACTACGACGACGACGCAGGCGACGACGACGACGACGACGACGACGAGGACGACGACGACGACGACGACATCGACGACGACGACGATGACAAGCACGATGATGACGACGACGACGACAACGACGATGGCGGCGACGACCATGACGACATTGACGACATTGACGACGACGACGACGAGGACGACGAGGACGACGACGGCGCCGACGACGATATCGGCGACGACGACGACGACAGCTGGTGGCGGCGGCGGCGGCGACGACGACGACGACGACGACGACGACGGCGACGACGACGACGATGACGACGCCGACGACTATAACGACGACGACGACGACGACCATGACAACGACGACAATGACGGCGACGGCGACGACGACGACGACTGCCGGCGGCGACGAAGACGACCATTGCGGCAGCCACGGCGATGGCGACGACGACGAGGACAACGGAGGCTCGGTCCCGTTCGGGCCCCGCGGGTGTCTCTGCCGAAGCAGTGTTGCATTTGACTGGGCGCCGTTGTCGCGGCCGTCGATACGAGGCAGGACGACGGAGGACGACGAGGACGACACGGACGACACGGACGACGGAGGACGACGACGACGAGGACGACGAAGGACAAGGGAGGACGAGGACGACGAGGACGATGAGGACGAAGGAGAACAATCAAGACGAGGCAGAACGACGGCAGCGACGGCGGCCGCGACGAAGACGCGGCCCCGAAGGCCCGCTCGGTGCTGGCGGCTGCGCTTGTGCTCCTGTTGCCAGCTTCGCTGCTGGTGCAGGCCGCACGGTGGGTTTCCCTCCGGCGCCCCTGCGCCGGTGCGCTTCTCCTCCTGCTCATTATCGTTGTTATCGTTGTGATCGTTGTGATCGTTGTGATCGTTGTCGTTGCGATCGTTATCGTTGTTTTCGTTGTTCTCGTCGGCGCCCGTGCGCTGGTGCGCTTCTCCTTCTGCTCGTAAGGCCTGTCGGGCCTAGAATCGAGATAATTCCTTGCCAGAGTGTTCTGGAATGCTCTGAACGCTCTTAGAGAGTTCCAGAACGCTCTGGAACGGCCGCGGCGCCCGATGCGTCCTCCAAGCCCGCCAATTCTAAGAGATATCCGGTTGATGTCGGTCCGATTTTGCCTCGATTCTGCCTTCGTCTTATGGTCGTTGTCGTGGTCGTCATCGTCGTCGACGTCGTCGTCGTCGTCATCGTCGTGGCCTTCTTCGAAGTAGTCGTCGTCGTCGTCGTTGCCGTCGTTGTCGTTGTCGTCGTCGTCGGCGTTGTAGTCGTCGTCGTCGTCGTCGTCGTCGTCGTCGTCGTCGTCGTCGTCGTCGTCGTCGTCATCGTCGCCGCCAGCACGGCGCAACGGCCAGCGGTCGTCGTCGTCGTCGCCGCCGCGCTGCTGCGGGCCGCGCAGCGGCTTCCCCACCCCCTCGCGCCTGCGCCGGAGCGTGGCTCCTCCGGCTCGCGAGGGCGTTGTCACGGCCGTCATCGTCGCATGCCGCGGTGAGGTCGTCCACGTCGTCAACGTCGCCGACGTCGGCGTCGCGTCGTCGTCGTTTTCGACTTCGCCGTCGCGTCGACGTCATTGTCGTCGTCGTGTTGTTGTCTTCGTCGTCGTCGTCGTCGTCGTCGTCGTCGTCGTCGTCGTCGTGGGCTGCAGTCGTCGTGGCCTGCCGCCTGTCGGCCGTGCGGAGGTGTGAGGCAGGAGGGAGGGGTCTCAGAGGAGCACAGAGTACCCCAACCGCTACCCTTGCCTCGTTTTTCTTTTTACTTGGCCTCCTGGGAGGCCAACGTCGTTACCGCTGGATTTGCCTCGAAACCTTCGTCAGAACGCACCCCGGGAGAGGCCTGGGGAGTAGCGGCATCGGTACCTTTTGGTCCCCCTAGGATCACTGACGAAACTGCCAGTTCTGCGAGCGGCCCCCCATCGAACAGTTCCTTGGGCGAGTCATGGATATGCGGAGGAATTGCCCGTGGGGGGGGCGGGGGGCACCCATCGCTTGGGGCACGCCCTGGCTCGCAGCCTGTTACGCTGGTTCCTAATTAAGGGGCCTACCCTGACGAGCAGTGCCTCAGACGCTGTGGGTTACTAGCCGGACCGAAGGGAGGGGAGGAGCGTGCAAGAGAACTGGAGGAGGGAGCGATGCCGCCGCCGCTGTCCATCCAGCCCTCGCCGCCGCAGCCGGATTCGCCACAGCGTCTCGGCCAGAGCGCGCCCCGGGAGTGGCCCAGGAGCAGCGGCATCAGTAATTATCTTCTGGTCCCCCCGCAGAGGGAGAGGGAGGGGAGTTCGGAGGCAGAAGGTGGAGCGCCGCCCCCCTGCGCGCGTCTTGCGGCTCTCCTCGTCGTGGTCATCATCGTCCTCGTCGCCGTCGTCGTCGTCCTCGTCGTCAACGCGCTCCTTGTCCTTGTCATCGTCGTCCTCGCCATAGTGGTCGACGTCGTCTCCCCTCGCCGTCCTCGTCCTCGTTGTTCTCGGCCGTCCTCGTCGTCGTCGTCGTCTTCGTCGTCGTGATCGTCGCCGCCTTCGTCGTCGGCCTCGTCGTCGTCGTCGTCGTCGTCGTCGTCGTCGTCGTCGCCGCCGCCGCCGCCGTTGTCGTCGTCGTCGTCGTCGTCGTCGTCGTGGTGGTCATTTTGATTTTGAGCCTTTGTAGGCCTCCTGGAGCGCTCCCGTGACCACGGCTGGATCAAACTCGAAATTATGGCCGCGCTGTAGTCGTCGTGCTATCGTGCCGATTCAAGGGATCAAGTGTGCGGAGAACATGGAATATAAATCTCTCCCAAACCCCCCTTTGCTCCTCTTCCTCCCCTTCTTTCCATTCCCTCTCTCCTCCTTCCTTCTCGTCCTCCTCATTGACTTCGTTTCGCCCGAGCTCCTGAACCAGCATATGCTACTTCAGGGGCTTTGGAGAAAGACGTCGTCGTTGTCCATGTCATCGTCGCCTCTGGCGTCGTTGTCGGTGGTTTGGAGCCTTTCTGGGCCTCCAATGGGATGCTCTCGTGGTCACGGCTGGATTTTGGCGCGAACCTCTGGCCAGATCGCACCCCAGAATCGGCACCCCTCGCTTCGCAGACTTCCAGACGGTGAGGGCCCGCCATCGGGGACATCTTAGGATAGATCTCTTTCGGCGCTTGAAGCAAATCTTTGGACCTCCCGACGCCTGGACCTCCCGACGCCTGGACACTTCTCAGCGCCAGGCGGCCATTCCGGCCGCCTGGCCGCCAGCTCCCCTGACCCCCCCCGGCAGGGGGGGGCCGGCGTCAGCCGCAGCAGTCCCCCCCCCGGGGACGAGCCGCCTGTCGACGGCTGGACGTCACGCGGGGTCAGCTCCACGCCCGCGGTCTGCGTCGATGGGCTGCGGGCAGCGGCTGGCCATGGCCCTGGCGCGCCCAGTGGCACGCCCAGGCTATGGCCACTTGGCCGAGCGGGCTGGCGAAAGCACGTCTGAGAGCCGCCCGAGGAGACGGAACGCACGAAGCCCAGCAGCACAAGGAGCAGAAGCAGCAGCACGCCTCTGGCATCCGGGAGTGGAACGTGCAGCGGGGCGAGCTGCGCACCTGTTAGCAGCACGATGGCCTGGCGCAGCACGACGCCCGGCAGCACGCTCGGGTGCAGCAGCGCGTCGCTGACACCCAGGAGTCGAAGTGCATTCCGGCGTCCAGCACATCTGTGCGTAAGCCCGTCCACGACGAGCAGTACGGCGCCCAGCAGCACAAGGAGGAACAGCAGCGCGCCTCTGGCACTCCGGCACCCAGGAAAAGGCCTCGCGCAGCGCGGCGATCAGCGTGTCTGGCGGCGCGGAGGCTCCGCCTGCCTCCTCCTCCTCCTCCTCCTCCTCCTCCTCCTCTTCCTCCTCCTCCTCCTCCCCCCGTAGTTGTTGCGCCCACCGCGTGCGCGCGCCGTGCGTGTGGCCTGTGGGAGGCCGCTGGCAGCCGACCCCGGTCTCGGCTCTCGGGCTTGCCTTCCTGCCGCCTGCTTCTCCGTTGCCCGTGCGGGGCATGGCAGTTGTGAAACTCTTGAGCTGTGTTGGCGAGCGTGCGCACCCAACTTTTGACTTGCAGTGTGGATCTTTACGCTGTGCTGTTTCTCTCCTTGCTTGTCGCGGTGCTGGGCCTTCGTGCTATGGTGGTCGGTCGGGCCCTGGGGTTCGCCCACACCTCGCATCGTGGGGCGATGTGCCCTCTCCGTCTGGCGTGGCGCTATTAGGTGATACGATGTCGGTTTATCCGTGCCGGTATTTCCTCTTCTTCTGCCTTCCTCCGCCTCTTCCATGTGAAGTGCCTGAGATTTGTGAAGCGCCGCCATGCTCATCTCGAGGAGTTGGCGGGATGGGCGCGGAACTCTGCGGTCCAGCTCCTTTTGCGATAGGTCCGTCCTTTGTCGTGCTTCACGGGCTCGCATAGGTTGTGCGCTCAGGATTGCTTCACGCGTCTGAGCTGGACGCGTCTGAAGTTTCAGCGAGGCGAGCTTCACTGGGGATCTGTGGGCTTCGTGCTTCGTGCGGCTTGGAGACGAGACGCAAACTTTGGACCTCCAGAGGCACCTGGAGGCGTCGGGAAACCTATGCAGGAGGCAGGCGGGGACTTCCGTGGACCCCCGAGACTTCCAGGTATCCGGACGCCCAGCTTCACCACACTCTTGCATCGGCAGCTCTGTTACCACGTTTCAGGCTGCATGGATCGGCTTACAAAGCAACGTCGCACATTCCGCCATGTAGGTTAGTTGAGCTGGGTATCCAAGGCACGCAGAGTGGGCAAGTCACACTCACAATCGTTGCTAAACGTGGCTGGCTCACATACAACCACTTGTTTTCGAGTTGTGAACCCACTTACGAACACCCGAAGTAGGCCAGCCCCAACCGCGAAACCTCCTCGCAGTCCCCGTCTCGAAATACAGCGGAAGCAATTGTATGATTCATGCCTTGCATTTCCAGCCGCACCTCCGCCGAGTTGGAACATCCATTCTGATTCTCGCCATGCGAGCTACACCCTAAGAGCGGTCTCCACTCGGTGCGTGGACCGTTTTGGGTCCTGGCGCCCTGGCATAGACGACCACGAATGAACAATATCAGTCTCTCGGGTGTTGACAGAGGTGTCCCTGGCCCAGAGGTGCCCCCCCCCAGGATTTCCACGAGGGCCCCACGATCTCCAGAGCACTCCTCACGAGGCTCAGAGGGCCCCAGGGGTCCCACGGTGGCGCGACGAGCTTGGGCCAGGGCCGCCGTTAGCACCCCCCCACAGTGGCCCGTGTCAAGAACTAGCCATTGCGTCTGAAGTGTTGCTTGTTTCTCCATGCTTCTTCTTCTTCTTCTTCTTCTTCTTCTTCTTCTAGATTTCTGTATATATGTTATATACAGTCGTGTGGACATGTGGATTATATGCGTGCTTGTGTACGAATGCATGCACGTATGTATGTATGCATGCATGCAGTTTCTCTCAGTATGGCGTGTGGTCTGCGCACGTGTGTTCGTACAGATAGACATGCATGTCTGCAGACGCAGGCACATACAATGTCACCCCACATGATTGCTTACATGCTTGTTTGCTTGCCCGAGCCTTCTGGAGGGCCCTCGCCGCCACGGCTGGGCTTGCCTCGAAATCATGATCAGTATGCGCTTCGGTTCGGGTTCTGCGATCGCCGTTCTGCGGAACAGGGGCCCAGATCTCGAGGCGTCCTGGAACGGATTCTGGACAAATTCGGGACCTGGAGGCCGTTTTCGCGCTCCGGGACCATCAGACAGCGATCCGCGACGAAAGTCCAGTCCCAGGGATGAGGCCTTCCTTCTCCTTCGACTCCCCTTCCCTTCTCCTCTGCCCCTGGAGGACAGCGAAGAGATGACGGAGGGCGGCTGAGGTTGAGGCAGGAGGGCGCGAGAAGGAGGAGGAGGAGGAGGAGGAGGAGGAGGAGGAGGAGGAGGAGGAGGAGGAGGAGGACCAGGCACCCTCGCAGGGTCTTTTTCGATCCAGTCGATCCTGTTTCGGCCGCTTCGGTCCAATTTGATTCGCATGCTCCGACGGTCTGATGCGGCCCGGTGCTTGAACGGCGCCGCTGTGCATCCTGGCCCATCCGGCCCGACCCAATCTCGATCCCGTGCCGGTGCAGCCCGATCCGCCGCGCATTCCGATCCGATCCGATTTCCTGCTTCGATGCTGACTGATCCTGGTGCATCGGTCGGGGCCTGGTCCAATTCGTCGCGCGCGCGCGCTGCCAGGCAGGCGCGGGCGGCCTCTCAGAGGGGCCCTGGACGGCTCTCTTCCCCCGCTTCGTGCAGGACACCGGCGACTCGTCTTTTTTTCCCTGCGTGTTTCTGGTTTCGGGCAGTGCGCGCGGTCATGGCTTCAGTGGTCGCGTGATGACGTGTCGTGACGGGAGGAACACAAAGCAGGTGGCTCCAGGTGGGACTACAGGATGGCCCCCGCGGCTCCAAGATGGCCGTCGAGCAGGGACACCCTGGGTCCCAGCGCACTTCTGCCAACTGGGCCGCACATGGCTGGGGCGACGACGCAGACGCCGGTGGCCACGACGACGAGGGCAACGACGAGGACGAGGACGAGGACGCCGACGAGAGCGACGACGACGATGAGGACGGCGACGGCGACGCCGGCGGCGGCGACGGCGACGTCGGCGAGGACGGCGGCGGCGGCGGCGGCGACAGCGCTGGCAGGCCGCGGGCTTGAGCTTCGCCGCGGGCCTGGGCCCCCGCCGTGGCGCTGCGGCCGCCGGCGCGAGGCGTCCGCGCGCGCGCCGTTGGGGAGGCGATCTTGGCGCCGGAGGCCCTCGGATGGCCCATCGGAGGGCCGATCGGGAGCCTTTTGAGGCGTCCGCGTCCCTCGGAGTCCCTCGTGGGCCCTCGGCTGCTCTCGGAGGCTCTCGGGAGACTTCGGAGGGTCAAGGGTCGGTCGTGGTCGTCGTGGTCGTGGTCGTCGTGGTCGGTGTCGTTGTCGCCGCCGCTATCGTCGCCGCCAGCGTCGTCAGCTGTGGCTTCGGCGCCAGCCTCGTCGTCAGCTGTGGCTTCGGCGCCAGCCTCAACGTCGTCGGCGCCGTTCTCCTCGTCCTCGTGCTGGCACCTCCTCGCCCACCTCGTGCTGCCTCCCGTGGCCATTTTTGTGCTTTGTCCGAGCCCCGCTCCGCGTTCGTTCCAAGGGATGGTGGCAAAGTTTTGGCGCAGAGCGTGAGTCTAGTGGTCGCAGTTGTGCCTTGGCCCCTCTGCATCCATCTTCTGCCTTGTCCTCCTTTCCGTTTCTCTGTGTTTCCCTCCCCTTCGTCATCCTTTGTCTTGCGTGCGCTTCTCTTGCTCATGTACGACCCGCTAGCCATTTTGCAGCCGTTGAGCGGTGCAAGACTTGTGATGTCGTCGACGAAGAAGCGTGAACGTATTGCAGCCCGCTTCCGCCGTCAGCACTTACGTAGCGCGTGCATGGCTGGTCGAGGAGGACGAAGCCTTTTCAAAGTGAGGCTGCGACTGTGTCGCGAACGTTTATGCACATCCAATCCGCGATTGCTAATACAACGCCGGCAGGGGATGTCATGGCGGCATATGTTGGGAACTGGAGCATATACACTACCAGTGGCGGGTTGCTTTTTCAATCCCAAGATACTTTGAGGGTCGGCGACGACGTCGGGGTAGTGTGGTGCATACTTGTTTCCTCGTTGTCCCGTGGCAAGAACGAAACATGTATACACCCAAACCCTGGATACACCAGGGCCCGCTTTCCTGTGCGAGTTTTGGTGCGGGTTTTGAAAAAGTGTCGGTGTATAGAGTTCGGCTCCTTAATATTGAAACGTATCACGTAGCAGCTTGCAGGAGCGAAGGTGGAGGGGCGCGTATTGCGACGAGGACGACGGGCGTGTTCCCAAACTCAGGGCTGACCTTGGCAACCTGAGTTTGAGAGCACGTCCGTCATCTCAGCACAACAAGGCGCGACACGACTTCAGCGCAGTTCTGAAGAGCAATCTTGGTATCGCCTGTGATGGCCAGCATGGCAACCCCGTTAAGCTGAGCCAAGCTGAGGCGAGCAAGCCTGCGCACAGCCCCATACCATGTGTCGGATGCAACTAGGAATCTGGCGTGGTACCATAGCCACATACCATGTTTGCCCTGCTCCAAAGCCTGGCTTAGTCCCGCTCTGTCCCGCTTAATCTGGCTAAGTCCCGTTTCATCCGGCTTAATCCCGCTTAACCTCAGAGGGGCTTTAGTTTTGACCCCCCTTTCTGATCTCTCGGCGGCGAATCCAATTTGTCCTAAAACCTCCTCGTCGCGGCGGAGATTATCTTCCCTCTACTGTTGGGCGGGTTGGGTACTGCTTGGGTTATCCATCCAGCGGACAACTCCGTTGTGGGCTACCCTGCACGCGGGAGAGTGTGCAAGGATCTTTTCATGAGGATTGCAAAGACGGAATTGCTTAATTTTGATTCGTGAGTTTGCTCGATGTCGTTTGCCTCGCATTGTTGGCAGAACTCCTGCTGGCGCCTGGTCGGCGCGCGCAGCGACGCGGGATTCGTTTCCCTTTCTTTCTGGGCGGGCTGGGTAATGTCTGGGGGTTATTCGTTCAACGGAATAATCCATGGTGGGCTACCCTGCGCGCGGGAGGATGTGTGAGCATCTTTCATGCGAATTGCATTGCACATGTGCTTCATTTTGATTCGCGAGGTTGCTCGAACTCGCCTGCCTAGCACTGTCTGGCGCCTAGTCGGCGCGCGCGGTGGCATGGGATTAGTCTCCCTCTAGTGTTGGGCGGGCTGGATAGTGTTTGTCCTTGATTGGTGGGCTGGAGGATTGGTGAGCATCCTTTCAAGGGATTTACAATAGGAGTTGCTTCGCTTTGATTCGCGAGTTCGCTCAAAGTCGTTTGCATAGCGCGGCTGGCAGAACTCCTGTTGGCGCTCGGTCGGGGTGCGTGACGACGTGGGATTAGTTTCCCTCTATTGTTGGGAGGGCTGGGTCATGTTTGGGGTTGATTCCTCTTACGGAAGAATCCATCATGGGCTACCTTTTACGCGGGAAGATGGGTGGTCATCTTCTCACGAGGATTGCAATAGGAATTTCTTCGTTCTGTTTCGCGAGATAGCTCCAAATCGTCTGCGTAGCACTACGTGCAGAAGTCCTGATGGCGCCTGGTCGGCGCGCGCGGCCAACATGGCGATTTGTCCAGTGTGGACAACGCAGAACTCGCCATACATGTTCTACGGCCCACGCGGCAGAGGATGGATGTTCTGAGGGCCCACGCGCGGCCTGAGCTTCAACCGTTTTTGGGGTTTTTAAGGGGCCACATGTGACTTATTGGGGTTGGGGGTTCTAAAAACCCTTGGAGGGTGCTTCGCAGCCCAATCCGGCGTGCCACCCCCATAACGAGGCTTAAGTATCCCTAGTCCTTCCGACGAAGACCTCCCAGTAGCTGCGCCGCGCTCACGGCCGTGCGCGAGGCTGAATCCAGGCGCCAGGTCGGCGAACATCCTGAGCCACAGGTTACCGTTTGGGCTCGAGGTGTACCGCTCTCCGCGCAGGTGCTGCTGTTCGCTCCAGACCGCAGCAATGGCGCCAATTTTGCGCTCGGATGCCCAGGCCTCCCCGCTGCGCGGCGCCCCGAGGCGCCACGGACGTTGTGGGCTCCCGCGGATGGCGGCGGCGCTGTGCTGCGCGGCGGTAGCCGCGGCGGCTTGTGGCGTTATGCGCCCAGACCTCCGGCGTCGTGTCATTTGCACGACGTGGGCCTTCAGAGGGCTGGACCCGAGGTGGGGATTTTTCCGTATCCCCTGCCTGGGATAGCGATCTTATATGGCATTGGCAGGCGGTGGATTGGGATGAATTTGGGCCCTGGCGGGTGCCAGTTATGTCCCAATTCACCGCCTGCCGAGGTCCCCGAGATCGCTCCCCAAGGCGGGATGAGTCCCTGACTCGCACTGTGGACCCCTTCTCCTGTGGGGCCGGTTTTTCGTCCCGAGGAGTCTTTCAGGGCCCCGGGGCCCTGCGAGTGCCCCCGAGGAGGTGTGAGTGGGCAGGGGCCTTCCGTCGTGACTTCCTCCACGGCGCGAGGGGGTCTGGGCGTGTCCCTGGCCGGGGTGCCCTGCTGCCGACCGGCGGCGCCCCGCGACCGGGCGGCTTGGCTCGCCGCGTGCTGTTCGGCCAGGCCGTGCTGGCGTCGGCCGCGGGCTGCGCCAGCCCTGCGTCGGCGGCTTACCTGCGCACCGCGGCCCTGACTCAGGACGGGAGCGACGAGATCGGGACCCAGGACCAGGTCGCTGCAGGCGTGAGGCTGGAGGAGGAAGCGGTGGCGGCATGCGCAAGGGGAGTGGCGAGAGGGGGGCGGCCATATAAGCAGGCGGAAAGGGGGGGGCTTCTGAGGAAGCAGGGGGCTTCTTGGAAGATCCGTCATGCTTCTTGGAAGCCTTCTGGGCCTTCTAAGCAGGCCCTCCTTGCCTTCTAAGACGCCCCTGTCTTCTAGACGGACCCCCTCTCGCGACCCTCTTGTGCTCGCGCCACTAAGGACGCCTTGCTGACGAGGGAAGCTGCACAAGTCATCGACACGCGCGACCTTGTGCTGAACAGCAAGGCCCAGGATCGCGCCCGTGCCCAGGAGAAGCTGGTCGCCCTGGAGGAGGATCGGCTCGAGGACGACGGTCAGAAGGTCATGCTGGTGCGCGGGGACGATCAGCGCTTCCTCCGCCGAGACCGAGCCATGCGACTGGGAGGCGTGGCGGCGACGCTGCAGGCTCTCAAGGACGAGTTCGGCATCAAGATGTGACGGCCCGCGGGGCCCCACGTCCAACTGCCAGGCCTCGGGCCGGCCCTGGCGGCGCGCAGGGAGGTGGGGCGGCACGGGCCAGAGCCCCGAGTCAGCAGAGCAGAGGGGTGGCAGGGTGAGGGGGTCGAGCACCCCGTTGTCTTGGAAGCCCTTCTGTCCATGGGCCGATCTCTTCCTGGATTCCCCTTGCCCTCTTAGAATCTTAGAAGCCCCCCGCCCCTCCCCCATTCTCCGGCGTTGCCAGAGGTGGTTCTGGCTCATGGTGGTCAAGGATAACCAGACGGGGCTGGGACGAGGATAAAATCCGTTCCAGAGCGTCCCCGAACGCTCTGAGAAGGCCGCGGCTCCAGAGCCGCCGGACCTCATAGACTCTCGATTTATCCTCGCCCGAATTTGTCCCCGTCCTGGTTTCGTCTTAGACATCTCCTGATTCGGACCTCCCGCTCTTGCCCACGCGAAGTTTCACGTGGACTAAGGCGCGTGGATTAGCGGCGGGTCCCGTTTCCGTGAAGAATCGGTCTACCCCGTCGCCAAACCGCACAGCATTGCCGCCATGTTTCGGCGGGTGCTTTTCTCGATCCGTGGATCTGGCGCACGCGCCCCAGGTTCGACGAGCCGAAATCCTTCACATCAGTAATTTTGGGTCTCGGAGCCCACAGGGCGTTTTTTTCATGTTTTCCATTCGACGTTCCATGAAGCCCGATGTCATTCCGAGGCCGCGCGTCGAACGTTTTCGATGGCGCGTCGCGTTATGCGATGTCACGTGCGTTGGGGTCGTCAAAGGCTTGCGTGCTTGTTGCGGATCGGTTGATGTGGGCTGGGGTTTCTCAGGATTGTACATTTGCTTTGCGCTGGGGCGGTTTCGACCCCCATCCCTGGCTGATCCACCCCGCGGGTAACGTCGCAGGAAGAGTTCGATCATTTCGTTCGTAGTGCCAGCGATGCTGTCGCGGACATTGACCGCGCCACGGGGGGGGGTCGTCCAGA